TTGCAAATCTCATCCTCCTTGCACAATAACCTTCCTTCCACCCGAATCCTACCAATATGATTGCCCCTGCAATGGGCGTTGGCCAAGCGATGGAAAAACTTCGTGTTCATGTCACCTTCCTTTAGCCACAAAGCACGAGACTTTTGCCTCCACGAAATCTCCTCCATAATTGCAATCTTAGCAAATTCCGCCTGACATTCCACCCTCCTAGCCTTCAGGGAGTCCGCCAGGACCCCCTGACCTTCCATCCGGTCAATATCAGCAATCTCAGAAAAGACTTGATTCTTCCTCCAGATAAGATTCCCGAAGACCTCCTTGTTCCAAATCTTGATGTCTTCCTTAAGAAAACGCAAGTGAACCGAGAGCAAATGGCGTGGGGTACCGTCCCCCCCAAATCCATCCCACCAAACTCGAACTCTATCCAAAAAACCTTTAGCACGAAGCCACATATTCTCGAATCTAAATGGAGATTGTCTTCTACACAACCCACCACAATCCAACATCAACTGAGCATGGTCAGAAATAGGGCGAGCCAAAGTAGCCTGAACAACATCAACAAACTTCTCCTCCCAGTCTCCCGACATAAGGAATCTATCGAGCCAAGAGAAGGTAGGAAGAGAGCTTCCACTGGACCAGGTAAAAGGCCCTCCCTCCAAAGGCAAGTTAACCAGCCCAGAAACATCAATGAAAGCCGAAAAAGACTCTATGTCAGACGTCCACCTTCCCCCCGTCGATCTCTCAAAAGGGGAGCGAACAACATTAAAATCACCCCCAGTACACCACGGCAGCAACCAATGCCCGCCACAAACCCCCAGCTCCTCCCATAACATCGGCCTTGCTAGATCATCCGTGGGCCCATACACACCCGAAAAGACCCAATGGAAACCATCCTCCACCATAGAGAACACACATGAAACAGAGAAATTCCCAATCCGAGAATCCACCAAAGACACCCATCTGCTATCCCAAACAAGAACACCACCCGCAGAGTCATTGGCATCCAAGGCACACCACTTCACAAATCTCCCACCCCAAATGTTTTGCACAATCAAATCCGTCATCGAAGCAATCTTGGTTTCTTGCAAACACACCACATGACCTCCCCCTTTACGAATAACCGACTTCACCACTTTCCTCCTCACCGGGTCATTTAGACCCCGCACATTCCATGACAAGATTCATAGCTTCATAGGGAAACAGTAGCAAAATCCGTCCCACTCCTCCCATTGTCCCTCTCCCTGGACCCCTATTCCACCTTTCATAAGTATCCCTCTCAGCTGCCCCTTCCTGAACACCACCCCTACCTCCCATTCTTTCAAAAAGCTGTGAATTTAGGATACCATGGAACATACTCAACGCCTCCTCCATTCTCCCTTCAAAAGACACTCCCGAGAGCCCACCTCCCCCCCTTTTTTCTCGAAACCACTCCTCCTCCAAATCCCCCCTTCCAACAACAGCAACAACACCTTCCGAACACTCCTCTTCCGGTCAAATGACAGCCAAAGGAACACACGTCTCCACAGCCTGCTCAGCTCCTTCCCACTGAATCAACCCCAGCTCCCCATCAAGAGAAGAACACAAGACTCCTTCCCAATCCTCAGGAATAGAGGTGGAAGGAGCACAACCATCCATCGGAGTCCCAATTTCCTCATCAGAAAGAAAGCCCCTTGGCTCAGCCTGAAAGTTTTTCAACGCCAAGTGAACCCGTAGGTCCTTCAACAAAGCAGCAGCAGAAACATCATCCAAACATATCTGTACATCCCGTTCCACACAGACAGTGACGACCTCCCGTTTCTTGTCAAGAGACCCCACGGATCCCACCAAACAACCCTGACCATCGCAACTCTGCTCAACCAAACGCTTCTCCGATTCTGCCTCAAAAACCGGAGACAAACTTTTGGAAAAGAGGACAGCCCTTCCTTCCCTAATCTGGCACACCGCTTTGTCACCCCACCAGGAGGAGAAGAAAAGGAAGAGGAAGGATGAAGAAGGGAGCATCTCAGCTGAGAGGTGGACTTACCCGGAGATGAAGCAGACGTGTTATTCACCACCCATTTCTGTTTCTCCTTGCATGACCATCTCCTTCGAATTGCAGGGAGAAGAAGCTTCTTATTTCTCAGCCCATGACCTTGCAAAGGCCGCACCTCACGCCGTCCATCCTTTAAAAAATCAGAGTTCTTAAAACCAGGTCCGTCAGATGAAAGAACGGGTCCATTAGATGAAACGGGTCCATCAGTTGAAGAAAAAGGCCCAAACCTATTGGCCACCTTCAGCCCAGAGTCAACAGAATTGAAACGCGGCCCACCCTTCAGATTGCAGCCCAAAACAAAAGGAGCACACAAGACCTTGTCAACCTGGGTCTTCTTAGCGCAATTCGGGTCACTACGACGAGAGTCTGGGCCTCGACCCACCGTAAGCCCATAAGGAGCCGGACCATTCAAACTAGGCACAATGGCCCCAACCTCCGGCCCAACCAAAAGCCCATCCGAACGTGAGGCCTGTAAAGTCACACGCGGTTCAAATTTAAACTCATTTGACAATGAGGAAACAGCTGTATCCCACCCCGAACGTCCAACTCCAGAGCGCCAACCACATGTCTGGTCCCCGACTCTTCCCCACCTACGCGCTGAAGGCGCGTGAAAAACACCTCGGTTTCTTCTCCAATCACCAACATGGGAAACCGACAGACTATCATGACCTCTGAAACCTCCCCTCTGAGAATCCCGTCGAAAAACAAACCTGCCACGATTGAACGATGAAGAAGAACCTTCCTTCCTTTTCTGAGTGAAGATTCTTTTGAAGCATTCCGTGTTGCGAACCCAAATGTTATCCCTCCACGCCTTCCATTTCTGAAATTCAGCTTTCCCCTTCAGTCCCATAGACTCCCATCTCATCCAATCAACTTCCTTCAACAATTGCGAGCCATCTCCTCCTTCCAAGCTGTCCATCGTTGGAACAAGAACAGGGTGTTTCTCCTCCCAAACAACCACCTTATAACAGAATCGGTCATCATGGACGAAGACAAAAGGAGGGCAAGCACGTCCCACCGAGACCGTGATCCGGACTCTTTCAGCATCCTTGGACTCATCCGCATCATCCCAAATAAAACCACCACAAAGATCGCTAACCGTCACAAACAAAGCATGGCTCCAGAGGTGAAGAGGGAGACCATAAAGCGTAACCTTCTGCAACCCTTGCACCTTCAAAACCTTGGAGCAACCCACTCTGAAATTCCAAGCCTCCACTCGGAGAGAAGCACTACCATATTCCCGATGGCCCTCCTTGAGAACATGAGCTGCCTCCGCCGGAGAGGGGAGACGAAAAAGGATCAACGAGTCCGGCAGAGGCGAAACCACCACTTCAGCTGAAATCTTCCAAGCCCGCGTTGCCCAAGCGGCGATCTAAGCCAAATCACCCACTTCCTTATCAAACTGCCCCACTAAACACGATCGCAAGTCCTCTTTCCTCCTACCAACCGAATCATCTTCCAAGAAAATCGAAAGACCTCTGTATGTGTTTGCAGACCTGGCAAACCCACCATCTGATACGGTGTACCCCAGCATCTTTGATGACATTCATTGACATAAGGTAAAGAAGAAAGGTCCAAAAAAAATATCTACAAAATTTGGCATCATAATGCTTCAAACCTTTGAGAATTAGCCCTAACTTTTTATTATCAGGCAACTAAAATGACCATTTTACCCGCCAAATACACCAACGTTAATTACAATTACAAATTTACAACACATACAATTATGAATCAAACTGATTGATGATGCAGACAACACAAACCCATCAAAACGCTCTTGTTGAAATCTCGAAGAGAAGTTATTTATTGGTTGAATAATTGAATTTCATGGTTCCAGTTACGTACAAAAACCCCCAAAAAACTAATCCTCAATTGTTGAAATCTCCAGCTATTTCTTCATGTTTCTTGTGCCCCCATTTATTACTCTCTTCGATTTTCATCTGAAGAAAATAGCAGAGAAAACCGAACAAACAAGGCAGCGAAAGAGGGTTTCAGCGGCTGAAGAGGAGGCCGTGGTGGTGGTCACACCCAAACCCATCACCACCACCACCACTTGCACAAGAAACCCACCCATTATATTGAATCAACCCATGTAAGATTCGCAGATCAAAAATACCTTCATTAAGTGAATTACTCATCCACTAGAATTATAAGATAAAACTTTGTTTCCTCACAAAATGATGATTCCAACCTACAACCACCAAATTTCATACCCAAGAAACCAAAAACTCCAAAATTAAATCCAAAATTGAAATTCCCAACAAATTTGTAACTACACAGATTGATAAATCAAAATAATGGATCGTGAATTTGGGTCTCACCAAAATTGCTTAATTCTCAATAATAATAATAATAATAAACCATGCACTCCAAAGATGAAGAGTTACCTAATGGGTGGTGAAGGTGTTGGCCTTTTGTGATCTTGACATGTGGATTATGAAGATCTCTATGATAAATGATCTTGTTTGGAAAAAAGAAAGTATGTTGTGGGTATTTTGGTCTTTTAAATAATTTTATAAGGTTAAAGAGGGATTTGACAAAGTCAAATGGTAACAATGTCTTTTTACATGAAAAAAGTGGTCTGACACAACTGTGTCACTAAAAAACGGACAAAACATATGTAATGTGAGTAATAGTAATTTTCTAGAAGTGCTTCAATGTGATATTTGTCCAAACCTGAAGTGGTGTCAGCGAAATTAACCCTTTATTTATTATAATTTTTTTTTGCTCTAGCAGTTGCTCAGTCACAGAGAACCCCATATATAGTCAGAATAGTAGGTCCGCTCGGCAACTGGCTGAAAGTAGTAAGAGCAAGGGTTTTGCATGTAAAAAAAGTCACCTCCATGGATGTATCTAATTAACATTTGTAAAAAATGCATCAAGAGCTAAACAGATTGCATTCTTTATTCTAGGTTAATGCCTCTGAACACACAGCTTTCTCGTACCTACTATAGAAAAGTTCAGGGCTCACCATGGCAAGATGATCCAATTACTCGATACTCTGTTATGGAATGCTGAGATGGCACTGTTTGGACATTATCAATAACTGTTATTCGCTCAGATTTTCCATTGTCCACCACCACCTGAAAAATTAACCATTAAATATATTTTTAAAATAGTAAGTCCTAAAAGAGGATAAGGATACTAATAATATTACATCACAATATATCTGGAAAAATTGCACAAAAAGATAAAATATAAAAAATGTTTTAATGGGAGAAACGTTGCCAAATATACTGTATGAAAGGAGCCAAGTAATTTCACTTCAATATTAAAACCCTCAGTCCAAACCCCAAACCATCATATTTACAAGACGCTGATCCAGTTGTGCCCAATCTTCAACATGCTAGTGAAGTCAATGCATTTACGCCGGGCAAATGGGCTTCACTAGATGTTGCACAGGGTATGTGTGCATACAAAAACATATCTATGCACTATGTGTGCATACAAAAAACTATCCATTGCCTAAACAAAACATAACATACTCAAAATATTTAAGTGATACATACATGTTAGAGATGATGCATGAGGGAGGTAGAATTATAAATATTTTAATTCTCAAATTCTAAATTTCTTGAATTCATGTGCAAATCAGAAACCCACTGGGTAAAAAATAAAAATAAAAATAAATAAAATAAAATAAAATAAAAACATGAAAACGAAAAATTACAGTAGGAAAAACAAGTTAGATGCATGAAGCAATTTTCAAATTTCTACTCACAGGTGCTAAGTTGAAGGTAAAGCAAATATTGAGTGCCTTTATGCTACTTTCAACAACAATGACGGCATAATACAATAATGTGACATCAATATTCCATTATATTCATATAATAAAAATATATATTACAAGTCACCATCATAATCAGAGATAAAGAAACCAATGGCGTAAAAAGGATTAATAAATAATAATTAACCGACTAACAATATATAACAATAGATTAATCAAATTGTTAAACTTGTTGGTTGGCTATTTAATGCACTTTAATATTTAAAGAACCAAAAGATGGAGGACAGAGATAAGAGAGAGAGAGAGAGAGAGAGAGAGAGATAAGAGAAGGAAATTGGATGATCCAAAGATCAGCAAATCACGTTGATGTTTCAGTGATGCAATTTTAATGAGAATGACCATTTTAGTTAGAATCCAGACTACTTTAAGCATGCAGCTTCTCCAATAATTAGTTAGAATCCAGAATATTTTAACCATGCAGCTTCTCCAGTAAGTGCTGAATGACTTCTGGAGCCTAAAAGTATATTTATACAACTGCCTGTGTGGCAAGTGCTTTATTGCCCAGCATCCCTCTAGGTTATGTAGTCCATTCCTAAAAGCCATTGCCAGCCTTGGAGTATGACGAGTCAAAGATAGTCTACATGGCAATAAACGCTAGGCATATTCTATAAAATTAGGAAATTTAATGCAAACCAGTATGCTGATAAGTAATTCTATAGTTTCTTCCTTTTTCATTTTAATTTTCAGTTTCTGGGTGGATGATGCATAAATATGGTTGTAACTTGTAAAAATTGATTAGTCATATCAAACAAGTTTTTTCATATAATCATAAGACCCATTTACCTCTATCTGCTCACTCTCTCACTTTGTCATTTGCACCACCCCCCACCCCCAACAACAACCAAAAAAAACAAAAAAAGAGTTTTTCAAATATTGAAGTTTAGAGATGCAAGAAAAAAGAAGCTCCTAATCCAAGGTCATTAAGAATATAGACTAACTGACCTTTCCCAAAGGCACTGAGATTAATCCTTGTGGACGTCTGGGAGATCCGATGACAAGTGCCCAATACCTCCTTTGCAAAATTCTTTTTTTATTGTCCAGATCCTTAAAAGGAGAAATCTTATCGCATTAAACTTAAAAATAAAATTAATTTTTAACTTACCAAAGAAAATAAATTAAGAAAAGAGAAACAATAATAAAACTAGCAAAAATGTATATCTCATCAAATTGATTGTCTTTTGACTAAAATAAACACATATTGAAGGGTAAAAATTTAAAACAGAAGGGAAATAGATAATTAATGTAGCAATAGTGAATTTATAAGTAAAAGTGATTGCCTGTCAACTAAAAGAAACATATTGAGGAATGAAAATTTACGCACATTAGTCGATGCCCCAAAAGTTTTCTCGTGGAAGATAGAGTGCAGAATGGTGGCACTTAATTGTGTCCTCCCCAACACCAAGATGCCGCTACTATCTCTATCAAGCCTGTGCACCTAATAAACATGAAGCTTTATCACAAAAAGACATAATACTTGATATAAAATCCTAGTGAAAAAACATTTTCAAATGATTAAGTAGAAAGTAAAAGCAAGGTCCACATTGAATAAGTCACTTCCACAGAAAGAACAGCTAAAAGGTGAAAATCTGGTTCAATTTGTTCTGCACAAGAAGCCTCAAAATTTGATGCGTCCTGTAAATCCTGACGTAAAAGTTGTCGCTTGAGTCATTGCACTCATTTATTACAATATTCTGAGATCATGATAATGGCAAAACTCATGAGATGGTGGGAAAGACAACAGTGTACAAATTTTATGGTCTACGTAAATTTAAAAATAAATAAATAAATGTGATGGAAGCATCATACACTTACAGGCTCGATGAAAAAAAAAAAAAAAAAAAAAAAACCTGATCTGATTAAATTCTAGCAAGTCAACCTCCAATAGAAGTGACAAAAGTTCCAACTTTAAAGGATAATTGCTTTTGAGAAGTAGTAAATCATTGGGAAGCCAAGCAGTTCATCAACATAATATCACTAAGCATCCCTCTAGATCCCTCAACAAAAACCAAAAAAGAAAAAGAAAAAGAAAAGAAAGAAGAGGATATTCCAGACAAGCAAGTGAGATGTTCCCCAAAACTATTCCCCTTTTGCCTTGCAACAAAGAAGTTCGATTGCATTGACAATAGCCCCTTACTTCACATTTTGAATTTTCCCACTTCAACAACATTGGTAACTATGGTTTAATATTTTTTTCACGTCAATAAAATGCCAAAATCCACACTCATACTTTCCTCAGATCAGATTACACACGCATGCGTATATTTGTATGAACATGCTTTTGTGATTATAAACAAGCTTCTAAATAAGCTGCACCATAGCAGCTTGGTTCGTTCACTATTTCTATGGTTATGCAAGCTGGTCCCTCTCTCTGTCTTTCCCATGTTTCCTTCACCAGAATTCTATTTTTTATACACAAGAATATAGCTTTTCAATAGATCAACTGAATATGTGGGGTAGTATTCTGCGGTAACCATATATTATCATTCCAAAACTTTAACACACCTAATCAATAGACACAAGTGATTGTAAGGGAAGCAGATATGGAATATATCAAGTAATGATTAAAATAATAGATTTTAAATGATACGTTACAGTCAAAACAAACATAACCTAAAAGAGAGTATGATTTGTTTCTCAACCTTGTTCACTCTCATCTCTAACAAGGTTCCAGACAGTCATACTATGATAATATTATTTATACATTCACAATCATATAATTTTAGAGGAGTTAAGTCATGTTGCGTTACAAGACATTTACAAACAGTTCACAAGAAAACAATCAGACCATGCATGTCTCACTAATAAAATAAAATAACAGTGAATTCGATAAGTCTCATGATATGATCCAATCTGTTCTGGGAGGACTCAAACTTTTATAATTTAAAAATCAAATTAAGATAAGCCTACTGGCAATCCTTCTCCTTGATCACAATAGCCTGTACATTTATATATGTGTGTATATACTTAGATAGACAAAAGTTGCAAAATAATAATATTCTTTTCTTACAAAGCTTTTCAGCTTCTAGTACCAGCAACAAATATTTAAGTCATCTATATTCTCTACTGAATCTACAAGAGAACTCACCAGCCGAGGGGGTTCTGAGCAGTCGTATCTCAAAAAATTCGCAGCCAGTTCATCTAAACTTCTTTTTATGCCAATGCCACCCTGTCCAAAGGTACATCAGTTATAAATTATAATATGAAACTCAATAGCCAAAATCATATTGTATAAAAAATAAATTGAGACCAAATGGCATCTAGCCTAATAGTATAACCTCCCCATCTTCAAAGAGGAGGGAAGGGGTTCAAGCCCTAGTGAGGGCAGAAAGTGTGTAGAAGTGTTCTTGCCAATGAAAAAAAAAAAAAAAGAAGAAGAAGAAGAAATTGAGCATAATAATATGGATAACTTACCTGAACAGGCATTCCAGAGGGTTTATTGACCACGATAATGGCTGCATCCTGTAAATGACGAGAAAAAAGGGTCAAAAGTTGGAAGTAAAATAATGTAATATAATTATATACAACTACTTTTTAAAGTCCGCATATTTTCAGGACCTTATACAACTCAAGACTGTGGAGAAACTTCACTTCCTCTTCAGTGCAAAGGCAATCTGCTTTCTGAGAGCGCAACTCTTTTACAGTTATAGGAAGATATATTCGATCTCCAAAGTTCATTAAGTCCTTAGCTGACACCTTCCAATAATTTAAAAGATCAGATGAAAGAAGACTTGCTCCATTAAAACTGTAAAGAAACAATAGAGGAAAACCTCTTTTTATACACAAAATAGACAACTGAACACGCTTTCAATAAAAATAAAGTATAATGAGAGTGTAAGCTTGCATTACCCTTCTGGGGCGACAGTCTTGTTCTTGAACACCCAGATTAGAACTTACAATGTCGGAGGATTGTCTTCGAACCTGTGACAAAATAAATGGCGATACATAGGCTTAGTACTTCCCCTGTTAAAAACATAAATTCAGCTAGTTATAACTCTTGCTACATTTACATAAAAATGTGACTAAGGGGTATAACAATTAACGACCAGTTTGGACATTCCATAGAAACGGAATTTCCCCACTTGTTCTATCATCCATGCAAGGTTTAATAAGTCCATGACAAGAGATTGGAACCATTTGAGACAATTGGGGGAATATTTCACGATTTAAGTTGTCACTTCTATTCATTCCAAAATTGCAAGGCAGGTTTTGATTTCCAATACATAATCCTACATGTGTAGAATTCGATGTACTTGAGAAAGTCATCCGTTTTGTCCCCAAATAAACTTCATATCACATCTCCAATACACCCAAACTCCCAAAGAATATACTAACTAAGCCTATAACAACAAATGTTTCCCTAGGAAATATAGCCTAGGCTCTAATACCAAATTTGTCATGCCCTGTTCCCGAAGCATGAGTTAGTCACCAATGCCTCAATGGAAATCCTTGATAAATCAATAACCACAATAGAACATTTTACTTAATTATGGCTCCGAATCAAAAGTTCCTTTAACATCAAGCATCTATAAGTCCTTAGCATCTATATGATACAAAAGTCCATCAAGTACATTACGAAAAGAGAAATACACAAACTCCAAGTCATAAAATTCAATTCTTACATAGTCCAAAACTATGTAATACTATAATTTCCGCAATTAAATAATAACTACCACCTAGGTGCCACGTGTTCGAAAATCAATACAACTTAAGCTCTTATTCACTTGTCGTTTGTTCTCCACGTTCTCAACCTGAAAATATTTTAAATAAAAAAATTTAAATAAAGTGAACTACAAGAGCCCAGTAGGTTTCCATTTTGTGCTAAAACCAATCATTTTCTTCAAAGGTAAGGAAACAGACTTTCCTTTTTAACAGTCATGGCAAAGATCAACATTAACGATTTCCGAAATTGAACTGAACAACAGAGATTAGATGGCAGAATATAATCATTAAAACAAGTATAATTTAATTTAACATATTCTCAAAATGCGTTTCATTTCTCAAGTTAAAACATCATTTTCCATAAGGCCAGAATAAGACATAAAACAAGTCGATAATTTCCATGTTTATTTCCAACAAGAATAATCCATAACAGTTCATAATTTCAATCTTTTCATTGTCAACATAATGAATGAAATTATCAACCGATGTTGGTACTCCGAAAGGTATCCAGCAGCCAGCCTTTTGCACCGGAGTGGCCCCAACCCTCAAATACCCAAACAAGGGTCTACCACGCGTGTCACGCCTCCAAATTTAGAATCAGGAAGCCCTCATCCCATAACTAAATCCGGTGCGCGACTTACATATAACCTCCATCATAATACTAAATCAAACCAGCACCCCAACCCATGTTTTCATTAATGCAAAATAGTTCATTAAATTAAGACCATATGTACAACTCTCATAAAAAATATATATCATCCTCAGTTTCAACTATTAAAAACAAAATAATTATATAAAAGAAACAAAATTACTATATAAAAGAAAGGAGAAGTAGATGGTCACCATCTCTCTAACACGTGTCTCCATCAACGAATACCTGAAAATGAATAATTGAGTTAGCTCAGCAAGAGTATTGCTAAACACTATCACTGCTCAGTGCCTTATATTCCCATACTTAAGTGTAACTCGTGTTACAATTGATGTTGTCTTGTTAGAAGTTAATTAATTTCTCATTAATTACATGTTCTAATTCCCAATCTCATATAATAATCAATATCTAATTAATTATTATATCTGGTTCCATTTCACGTTTATTAACTCGGGCCTTCTCTTAGTTAATCATCTTAATTAACTTATTTGTAAATTTCTACTTATCTCACATGAGCCTCAGGCTCCCCTCAAATAGGTGGCCTTCTCTCACAGCCACGATTATAGGATCAAACACTCCCATACTCCAACAAGGTGTGCAACGTATAGTTCCGGACTACCGAAAACACACATGTGGGCTGGGTTTGTACGTCTACTCACCCAAATGGTCCCTGACCACGTCCACATAATAAGGGCACGCTCAGCCCAATGACATAACAAGAAGGATGGTGCACTCCCAAATAGGGAGGTCTCGGACCATGACTAGCAAAGTCATCATAGAGTTAGTCCCTGACTACCTCTCCGGCTATTCAGATAATATCCATTATATTCCAATTATGATGGTTTATTAAATATACTTAACTTTTAATAGATTTAACCAATGGTAATGTGTTCATTATACACTCAGGAGTCACCCATTCAACCCAGAACATAGACCCAACACCTGATTTCAGCTGTGGAGAAATCAAAAGCATATAAAAAACAATGAGGATGTGTTTGATTATCAAGCACAAGCATAAAAAATCAATAAATCTATTAAACAATTGCACAGCTAAATCAAGCATGAGCACAGATGCCCAAAACATATAAGAGAAACAGAAAACAAACTTCTAGCAAGTTAAAACCCATAAGCAATTGAAAAGAATATGAGTTCCAATATTTATCAGCCAAAAACGTAAACAAGGCATAAGCAGATAAGTATATACATTTACATATATATATGTTGATTTAGGTATATGTATAAAAACAAATCTAAATCTCTTTATGAAAGTACCAAAAATTCATATTTTGAGAGCATTGTCCCAATTATTTGGGTCAGTGGAGAACTAACAGCGGATTAACACCAATAAATTCCTAGATGAGTCGAACAAATATGAGACTTACCAATATGAAAACATGCATATACCAATTTAAAGTCCAATATTGAAATTAAGCTTGGTATTAAACATTGACAAACCAAATCAAGCCCTACTTTTGAATACTTTCACCAAGTTACTCACTATTTTACGATAATCTAAAATCTTTAGTTAGGGCTAAATATATATAGACATATACATGCATATACTCCGAAGTACCTATGATCCGGATTAAGTTTCTCACTAAGATCATTCAACTTATGCAGTTATTAACATTTAATGTACTGAAATTTTAATCTTTGACAATAAATACCCATACCTAAATGCATATATACAAGTCTGATGACGTATAGATATATGAACTACCTTATCTATGCATATATGTAAATATATATTATTCAGACATGTAAATGCCACAACTTTGGTAGGCTAATTCTATTACACTAGAATTGTACATACTCCATATTCAAGTATTCATACTTGAAGGTTTCACATGTGCACCATATACATATTAAAATTCAAGGTTTGTTTCATGTTTATTCTAATTCCATTACATGTGTTTTATTACATTTTTTATTTTATTTTACTTTCTTACTTTTACTTTTTACCACTTTCATTTACTATTTTACTCAGTTAAAACCTCTTTTACTAACTTCACTTTATTGAAAAATTAAGGATATTACAAAGTGAGTTTCAGGTCTTTCATCCAAGGGTAACTCGTACCCTACTTGCTGCTTTACAAAACTTTACCCAAGGACCGCAGCCTTATTCATATTGACTATCACAATAAAGTGATACACGGAAATGCCATGAAATTGACTTATTAGTAGATTGATCACTTCAAAATCATTTCCTAATTCATAAAACTATTTTCGTTTAAGAGTAAACAAATATGCTTTATTTCCAATAAGATCAGGTGTTCAATTTCTCAAAATCCAGCCATTCTCGCTAAAATGTACCATTTCAAATTAAAAACTGACCATTACTATATTTCCAATAAAATTTATTTTGTAAAAAAAATTCACAAATTGATTCAATGTTTGGAGAAATGGTAGACGATTTTTTTTTCTTAACAATTTATTTTTTTATTTTTTTATTTTTTTTTATTTCTAATTTCCAAAAATCCAGGTTTACAACCTCAGCCCCAGCCCACTGTTGAGTTCAACACAAGGATTTAGAACCACAATGTACAAGTTATCAATATGAGAAAATAAAATTCAGATTTGCACAACAATACGTTTTCAAGAAAATCCCCAAGATTGCAGCTCATATATATGCTTTGACAAGATCAATCAGCAATTTCAAAACAAAATTCATATGTAAGAACAAGTGTAGAAATATCCTATCTTTAACAGTTTGAAAACATCTACTTTTTTTCCTTTTTCCCACAACTTTACATATATTTCAAATTTTCACTCCCAAATATTTAATGTTTTATCCCAATATTATAGCAAGTGGTACAAAATCATAAACCGCAATTCTAATTTTCTTTAATTTAATTCCACAAAGAGGAGACCACTATAATTTATAATGCATAATGGCATTAATAAAACCTTCTTATCCACCCTATCTTATTAAATTAGCTCAAATCTTCAATTTAAATATGTCATCTCTATATATTTATTCTAATAAACATCAATAGGCTTCAAATAAAAATTCAGGGTATTACATTCTATCCCCCTAAATATAAATTCCACCCTCGAAATTGTGGTGTAGTGTTGAACATAAACCTTATATCTCTGTCAATCTTCACACTCCTTTACGTTTATTCAATATATAGCCCATCAAATATCAATTTCAATACTTAAACAAACATGCCTCCAATGTAAATCAATCCTATCACTCAAGTACTTCATTCCGATCCCTATAATATAGCCTTCATTATATAGAACCTCAAAGTTTCAAAATTTCCAAGTATCACCCATTGATTACCAATTTGGAGATTCATCATTAAAGGAATCCGAAGAAATATCAATTTGATGATTTCTCCATTTGAGATGCCACCAATACGATCCTAATATTGGCATTACCAAACTTCATAGTTTTAAACTGTAAGTACCCCAATTAGTCTGCCCATAATTGAAAAGACCTATTCACCAGATAAACAGGCTATATAATGCGAATCAATTTGACCTCGAACTTTACTCAATCGACACTGTTGGTATTTCCAAAGAGCTCATTATACTCAACAATTCACCCTTGCTAGTCTATCCATCGGTCATCTTCCTCCAATTTTCTCTCTCTAGAATAAATGTGTAGTGCCCTGCCAACCAAGATTCCAAAGTTTTAAACGATTTGAATGCAAACCTATGAATCGAATACTGTTACTCCTTAGATACTTGCATACTTGCAGATAAATGTATCTATAATTTGAATTTAAATCTTTCATTTGAAACACCTATATTCTTAGAAGTTCTGCGACACGTGTTTGACACATCTGGAAAATTAAAAAACAATAATTCTAGTATAATATTAAAATATAATAGTTAGGGAAAATGTAATAAGGATTTCACAAACCTGTCTCAAGCGAAAGAGCTTCTGTACGAGAGACCTCGGTAATTGCGGGCAGCATCGTAGTACCCATTTGAGCGCCGGCATAGTGTTGGCGATTGCGCTGTTCGTTCCCGAACCCCGTCCAAAGAGCTCTTTTCCCAAGGCAGCACCATCGACGGTGGAAGTGAAAGGAGGTAATGTGAACCATTCGCCCTTTTTCTTCTCAATCTTTTCTTCCGTTTCGGCGTCGGTCGCCGCGGCGTTGGTGGCGTAGTGATGTTGCCATTGGTGTACGACTGAAATGAAGTTCCTTCCGCTGCCACATATGGCGGCGAAAGGCGGTGATCGGAGGAGGACTAGACGGACGAGTGAGGCGTTCATCATTTTTAGGTTATCGGAACCAAGCTTTTTTTCGGAAGTTATCGGAACCAAGCTAGCCGTGCTGAAGAGAGTAGGTTTAAGTGACGGTTGGTCGGGTGTTTTCTATTTGTACAAAAGCTTGTTTGGTACTTATATCCACTTATTTATATTGGATTATTTTTTTTTTATTCAGATTTAATGTGGGACAAATTTTTCTTTGTCATATTCTTCCACACCCGAACTTACAATGCTCTCATTGCGGTCGGGGCACCCTGCTTATCTAGGTGACACACTTGGACATTTAGCGTAACACCAAATTAATGACTGGGTCTGATTCTGATACTAAATGTAATGGGTAAGCACTTACTTATTTACCGAAAAACTTATTGCACAACGACATTCTTTTCAACCACGAGTTGCCCCAGCGGGGAGAGAACTTTGTGACCTTAAAGATCATGTGAGCCCTGTGTCACGGACTTGAACCTTTCCAAACTCCCATGCGGCCTTAGACACTTTCAAGCCCCCTTGAAACGCTAAGTCAGCCTACCCGAGTATGCTAGCTTAGTGAAAACTAAGGCTAGACAAGTGTTTTGCTTACTTGGATGTGTAGGAAAAGATTAGGCAAGTGAGCAAGAGAGTTTGGGAATATATAGAACTTGTATTGCTTGAGAGGAGAGATTACAACTTGGATGCTTGGTGAAGAACAAATGAATTCCCACCTCCTATTTATAGGTCTTTGGCCTTACAAGAACATTATAGATGTATACAAATGTGTGGCCTAGATTAAGTGTCTAGAACCTTCCAAAGAAAAATCTATACTATTCTAGAACTATGTACAATGTTCAAGACAAGTCTAGAGAATTCTAGATAATTCTAAACAACTCTAGACAAGTTTAGAAAAGGTTAGACAACTCCACACTAATCTAGAGAATTCCAGAAAGTTCCATACTTGTGTAGAGAAGTCTAGAAAGCTCCGGTCCATGCAGGCTCTATGTCATTGTCTGTTGGGCGTCTGCGTGGCGCCTACGTGGCGTAGCCTCTTGATTGCGGGGCGTGACATTCTCCCCCACTTAAGCTCGCGACACCCTCTTCGTGTCTTCTTGCTTGAACCGCTGGATATGCTCCGCGAACTGCCAAAGTGTATCCTAGTGCTCCCATCTCGCCTCGCTATCTGGCAGGTTCTTCCATTTTACTAAGTACTCTATATACTTGGGCACACCTCTCCTGCTCATCACACGATCTGCAAGGATGCAGTCAACTTCCTTGTCAAAAGATGTGACAACGGTCGTGGGTGCCCTATGCGATATGCCCCGAGTAAAGTCTTCCGTGTCTTCATGATAAGGCTTGAGCATGCTGACATGGAAGACTAGATGTATCTTTAGCTTCGGTGGAAGCTCTACCATGTAGAATACCTTGCCCACCCGCTTGACAATGGGGAACGGGCCCTCGTACCTCCTTACTAGCCCCTTATGCACGCTCCGGAAGGACTTGAACTGCTGGGGTAGTAGCTTAACCATCACCTGGTCTCCCATTATGTATTCCACCCATCTTCGTTTGGTGTCGGCTCACTTTTTCATCTTCTTTGCCGCCTTGTCAAGGTAGGCCCTAGCCAAGTCGGACTATTCGTGCCACCTCTTAGCAAACTTGTAAGCCGCCGAACTTTTACCATCACAAGTCGAAGCAATGGCGTTGGGTGTCATAGGCTGCCGTCCGGTAACAACCTCAAATGGACTGTGATTGGTAGCCTCACTTCGCTGCAAGTTGTAAGAAAATTGTGCCACCCCAAGGAGTTTGGTCCAATCTTGCTAGTTGGCACTCACATAGTGCCTCAAATAAAGCTCCAGGAGAGCGTTGATGCACTCCGTCTGCCCATCTGATTGGGGGTGGAAACTCGTAGAGAAGTTGAGATCCGTCCCCATCTTCTTGAAGAGCCCCGTCCAAAATCTACCCGTAAAGCGCGGGTCTCTGTCACTGACAATGTTTTGCGAAACTCCCCAAAGCTTGACCACATGGTCAACAAACAACTCCTGCCCTCTCTACTGTGCAGTCTGCTGGTGCGGGTATGAAGGTGGCATACTTGCTGAACCGATCTACCACCACTATAATGCTCCCGCAACCCTTTGACTTGGGCAAGCAAGTGATGAAATCCATAGAGACGCTCTCCCATGGTCTCTCTGGAATAGGTAGTGGCTCTAGTAGGCCTGCAGGATGCTGTTGCTCAATCTTATCTTGTTGGCACACAAGATAAGTCCTCACATATGTCTCCACGTCATCACGCATCCGAGGCCAATAGTAATAATCTTCAAAGAGTGCTAATATGCGCCGCATACCTGGGTGACCAGCCCATTTGGTGTCGTGGCACTCCCATATTAGCTCCTTCCGCAAGTTGCCCCACCTGGGCACAAAGAGTCGGTCCCCTGTAGTGAGAAGTAAATCATCCCTTAGCCAAAAGTGCCGAGTCTTCCCTTCCTTCGCTAGCTGAATAAGGCTTTTGGCTAGAGGGTCATGCTGCAACCCCTCTTCAATTCGCTCCACAAGAGAGTGCTAGGGCCGACTGATAGCTGTGGCTCAGCCTTGCGACTAAGCGCATATGCCACAACATTGGCCTTGCCCCACTTGTATTCAAAATGATAAGTGAACTCCGCTAGAAAGTCCTGCCAACGAGCTTGCTTGGAGCTGAGCTTCTTCTGTGTCTGGAAATAGCTGGTGGCAACATTATCCGTCTTGATCACAAATTGTGCCCCGAGCAAGTAGTGCCTCCAAGTACGTAGGCAATGGATGACCGCTGTCATCTCTTTCTCCTGCACCGTATAGCGCCGCTCGGTGTCATTAATCTTGCGGCTCTCATAAGCTATGGGGTGTTCTTCCTGCATCAACACGCCCCCAATAGCAAAGTCTGATGCATTCGTGTGCACCTCATATGGCTTGGAGTGGTCGGGCAAGCTAAGTACCGGCTCTTCTGTAACTGCCCTCTTCAAGTCATCAAATTCCCCCTAGTATGACTCTGACCAACTCCAAGCACGCGCCTTCTTAAGAAGGTCTGTCAATGGGGCTGCTCTTGCCGAGTAACCCTTGATAAAGCAGCGGTAGTAATTGACAAGCCCAAGAAACGAGCGTAGTTCCGTCACCTTAGTGGGCGGCTCCCACTCTTGAATAGCTCTCACCTTTGCCTCATCCATCATCAGCTTGCCATCCCGAATCTTATGCCCTAGGAACAACGCCTCCTCTTGGGCAAGGGAGCATTTCTCCGTCTTCACGTATAGGTTGTTCTCCTATAGGACTTGGAAGACCGCCCTCAAGTGCTGCACGTGCTCCTCTAGAGTGATGCTATGCACAACAATATCATTCAAGTACACCACCACAAAGCGATCCAAGTAGGGATGAAAGAGCTTGTTCATCAAAGTACAGAAAGTAGCAAGTGCATTGGTGAGACCAAATGGCATAACAAGGAACTCATAAGAGCCATACCTCGTCACACATGTAGTTTTAGGCTCATCCCCGTCCGCTATCCGTACCTGGTAGTACCCCGAGCACAAGTCTAGCTTAGTGACGTAGCGTGCTCCACCAAGCTGATAAAAAAGATCGGCAATGAGAGGAATGGGGTACTTGTTTTTGATAGTCACCTTGTTGAGCGCCCGGTAGTCGATGCACATGCGTAAGGACCCGTCCTTCTTCCTCTGGAACAACACTGGTACGCCATATGGGGCCTTCGAGGGTCGAATGTAGCCCGTATCTAACAGCTCATTGAGTTGCTTCCGCAACTCCTCCAACTCTGGGGGTGCTATCCGGTAAGGCACCAAAGCAGGGGGTTTGGAACTCGGTTCCAGCTCGATCTTATGATCCACCTCCCTCCTAGGTGGAAGCTTCTTAGGCAGCTCCTTAGGCATCACGTCCATGTACTCGTCTAGCACGGCTCGTATCTCCTTAGGCACCTCTTCTTGCGGGGAAGGGACTAGCTCATCATCGGGTGTCTCCAATAACGTGGCAAGGTAGCTAGTCTCTCCCTTCTTGAAGCCCTTCTTGAACTGCATAGCTGACAAAGGTTGGGCTTCTAATTTGGCCCGTCTCTTCACCGGCACCATGCATGCTGTGTTTCCTTCCATAATACACATAGTGTTAGCGAAAGGAATGGGGAAGGCTCTCACCTTGTTTAAGAACTCTAACCCAATGACTAGTTTGAAGTCGTCCATGGGTACAACCGATAGGTCTATGTGGCCAACCCACTGGCCAATGCATGCTCTGACGCCATGTGCCATGCCATGTATAGCCTTCGCCGCTGAGTTAATTGCCTTCATGGAGCCCCCTTCTTTGCTATACTTGAGGCCCAACCTCTTGGCCTCGTCAAGGCTCACAAAGTTGTGGGATGCACCCGTGTCCACCAAAGCACGTGTGGGTGTCCCATTGATGCTTGCCTCCACGAACATTAGCCCCTTAACCGCCGCCTTAGTGACTTCAGTTTTAGCCTTGATGGCATTAAGGATTTGCAGTGAACCCATCTGCGCCTCATGTTGCTGTTGTTGCTCCTCATAGTGGTTTGTCATGGCATTGAGGGTTTTCCTCTTAGGGCAATCTTTCACCCAATATGGCCCATCACATATGAAGCAAGAACCCTTAGGCTTGGGTGCTCCTTCCTTGTTCTCCCTTACCTCTTTACCACCATGGCCACCACCTGGCTTACGGGACCAATCCTTGTGGGGTGCAGCGACCTTGTCTCCCCCACCTTTGCCGGCATACCTCCCCTTGTCCTTGTCTTTATCTTTTGGCTTGGACGAGGGTTCCTTCTTGGAGCTGAAATCAATAAAGGACTCCGCCTCTGCAATAGTTGTGGCAAAGTCTTGCACGTTGCGCCGCTTCAACTCCGTCTTAGCCCACAACTGCAAGCCATCCACGAAGAAGAAAAAAGAGTCATTGTCGGATAGATTCGGGATCTCAAGAGTTAAGTTAGTGAATTCTTTCACATAGTCCCAAATCGACCCAACCTGTTTTAGCCTTCGGAGCCTACCCCTGGCTTCATCCTCGGCATTCTCAAGATAGAAATGCTTCTTAATTTCCCTAGTGAAATCAGCCCAAGTATCAATAGAGATCGTACCTTTGCCCATGTCACCATACTTTTTCCTCCACCATAACATGGCATGATCAGTGAGGTAGTGGGTCGCCGTGCGTATCTTGATGGTCTCTTCGGTCATGCCCGCAGCCTTAAAGTATTGTTCCATGCTGAAGAGGAAGTTCTCCAACTCCCTCGCTACCCGGTTTCCACCATAGCACTTAGGCTTGGGAATATCAACCGGGGGTGCTACTACCCCCGTAGTAGCTGTGCAGGACGCCACCGCCCGTTTGCACAATGTCCAGTCCGCTCGCATTTCCTCCATTTGCTCGCGGAAAGTGCCAAGCTCCTGATCAACATAGCCACGTAGGGTGGCAAACTCCCCCAACATAAGTTCTCGAAGTGCTTGGAGCTCCTGCCGAAAGTCACCACTTAGGGCATTAAGTGACCCTTTGACAACATTCTGGACCTCAACGTCCTTCGACTTCAGCCCATCTGTAATACCCCTACTTTAAAAAGGGATAAAATTGGAATTTAAATGTTATTTTATGCGCATTTTTTATTTTATTTATTAATTTTATGATTAAGTGCTTATGTGGCAAATTGTTTATTTGTGTGTATTAATTGATTTATTTGCGTTTATTATTTTGGTTTAATTGCCTTAGTTGAATTATTTAACATTATTTGCATTAATTGACTTAATTGGATAATTTGATTTAATTGATTTATTATTGTTTTATTAAATGGAATTTAATTGTAGGTTTTTGTTATGGGCCAACTCGGATTAAGTTTAGGGCTCTATCTCAATGTGACAAGGATTAGGGTTTTAGTATTTAGTTTATAAATACACCATTATGCGTTAAGCTAGGGTTTTACGATATATCACATAGCATATACACGTAGAGGGTTCTGCAAAACACAGAGAGATACAGAGTAAGGTTTGAGAGAACAGAGCAAATTATGAGTTCTCAACTGAGGTTTCAAGGCCAAACCTAGGAGAAGGAAATGGCAGAGGTAATAGGAGGCTAGACAGTGTTGCAGTGGTCACCGGAAAGTCTAGGAGGAAGACGACGTTGAAAGGTTTCAAATCGGAACCGAAAGGCAAGTTCTATCTTCCTCTTTCCCTTTGGGCCGTGTTCTGTGCACCTAGATAATCTCTAGGGTTTAACTAATCAGTAATTGGAACTTACGTGTTTATATATATATTTCATTGATGATATGTTTGCCTTAAAACAAATCTGTTACAAAGCATGTAACACTGGTTCCAGTTTTCTGCCTTTTAAGCATGTTGTAACTTTAATTTTTGTAGTTAATTTAAACTACTGTAAACAAAGTATAAGAATGCTACTGGGGTATATAAAACTCATAGGGATGCTATTATTCTATTTTAATTGCTTGTTGCAATCCGTTCTGTTTCAATTTGCACATGGTTCCAGTGTTCATACTAACAGCATGTTAAGTTGGGTAGCAAACTTAAGCTTTGTAATTGATTTAAATTACTATAATCAAACCCTGGGGATGCTATTAGGAGGGTGTTAGATCCTTAAGATCAGTTTAAGAAACCAACAGAGGGGTAGGAATTGATCGGAGAAGGAGCAGATTGACGGAAACGGAGCAGAGATGAACTGGAGGCTCTCAAGAGGGAGAGAGCCGGCTCTAGAAAGTCAAGAGCCGGCTCCCCTTCATCAAGAGCCAGCTCCTAGGGAATTGGAGCCGGCTCCAATAGGGGAAGAGCCGGCTCTTCCATTCCAAGAGCTGGCTCCAATTTGTTTTACGTCCAGAAAATGTTTTCTAGGGCTCTGTTTGGTGTTTTGAGCACTGTTTGAGCTTTTGAGTGATGCTAATGAACTGTAGGGACTTAACAGAGGATCTAAGTAGTTAATTTTAAGTGTTATTAAACTTATTGTTGTATGGTTTAAGTCTCTAAGACAAAGGATGAAGCAGTGTAAAAATATACAACGGTGTATGCTACTAACAGAGAAAGGAACTAAATTGCTTGATTAAATTTTAGAAATTTAATGAGACTTCACGGGGGGATTAAATAGTTAATTTTGGGTGTTATTAAGACCCTAAATTGATTTAAGGTTAATTCTAAATTAACGGATCAAACTGTATAACACTTATGTACAATTGTATACGGTTAGTGGATGGATGAAGTTTTAAATGCTTAAGCTTATTTTTAGGCATTCCAGTGGGATTTAATATATTTATAAAATGGGTTTAAATATATTATAGGGTCATTGGTGTATTAGATGTGATCTATGCATGCTCTGGATGTTAGTTGTTGATTTATTAAATCATCTCCTGCAACTATATGGTTAACTGTTTGGATTTAGATTACTGAAATTTTAAATAGTTTCTTACAATGGTTTGGATATTGGTTTGGACTGTAAATTGCTAAACTTTAATTTAGGTGTTGTAATTTACTTGGTTTGGATGCCAATTGTGAAATCTTATATATTATTCTGCAATCAACTGGATTAGGGTTTTGAACTGAAATTACTATAATATTGTATAAACGATGCTGCAATTACTTGGCTTTGGTTTTGGATTTAAATTACTTGCTTATTATATATATGTGGTAGTTTACATGGATATGGAGGATTGTATGTACCGGTATGGGACGGTGATATACTAGGTATGGATTAGTTAAAACACTAATCCTACCTAATTTGGAATGAGTTGGATTAATCATACAAAGGTTAAGTCCTACTTAAATGGATGTACATGAACCGGTATGGGACGGTGTCATATTAGGGATGGCTTAGTTCAAAACACTAAGACCTACCTATATTGGGAATGGATTAGTTCAAAACACTAAGTCCTACCCAAATTGAATTAAGGTATGGATTAACCCTAATAGTTAAGTCCATTATCTATTTGTGTCATATCAATTGAGAACTGAATGACCTATTTGGTTTTAGGATGGATTTGTTATACATATATCAGACCCCTATATATATGGTTGATATTTTGTATTAGGAGGAGTATGGACTTTACATATATAATATACGTGCCATGGTATGAGCTTGAGTCTCAGGACCATGGTTAGGGCGCGTATATCGCCTGGGATGGATAACTGGACATAGGTGTTGTTCCTTGGTAGGTCTAGGTAGTCATGCCCACCTTAGGGTGCGCATTTGCATGTTACCTTCTATTCAGGCTGAGACAGACCTACTGGACTAGCGAGCGTCCTATAGTGTGTACTATATACATATATGGACTACTCTAGCTATTGTTGAGATATCTAGGGTGTATCTGCGTATTGGGTTACTGTGTGGATTGCAGTTAGATTAGAACTTACTCGTGGGCCTGACCCACCCTTCTATTATTTTTTTTACAAGTGTTCGTTAGCTCCAGTCATAGAGCTGGATCATGCTGAGCAGATACAGTAATTCACTCCACCGTTGGCATAGGATTGTATTTCATATGGTATAATTGAGTTTTATTTCCAGTTCTTTTGAATACAGTTGGGATTTGAATAGGGGTCCACTAGATGGATTCCCGAGTAGTATATGGAGGATCAGTTGTATCATAAAGGTTGTTTATTAATGAAATTTTATTTCGGGATTTCATTCAATGGATTATCATTTTAGTTTTCTATTCAGCAAATTTTATTTATTTTTATTTAATTTAAAATTGTACTCTGTGTTCGTTAATTGCTAATTTGTTTGATATCCTTGGGTAATCGGGCGTGGGCCTGGCCAACTCGCATCCGAAAATCCGGGGGTATCACACCATCCATGCGCTGGTGAGCATCCTCAAGTTGCTCCAACACGTTGGCTATGGACCCCTCCATGTTTGCCACACTTGCCTCTAAGCCAGCCATGATGTCCTTTGACCTAGCCCTCGTCCTCACTCCGATTGGAGGGGGATTTGTTTCCCTTCCACGTAGATCCTCCTCTAGGGTGCCAGTCACGTCTGATAGCTCCGTCATAGCTTCCTCCACACAAGGTGTGACGACTCACGACCTTAGCTCTGATACCAACTGTCACGGACTTGAACCTTTCCAAGCTCCCGTGCGGCCTTAGACACTTTCAAGTCCCCTTGAAGCGTTAAGTCAGCCTACCCGAGTGTGCTAACTTAGTGAAGACTAAGGTTAGACAAGTGTTTTGCTTACTTGGGTGTGTAGGAAGAGGTTAGGCAAGTGAGCAAGAGAGTTTGGGAATGTATAGAACTTGTATTGCTTGAGAGGAGAGATTACAACTTGGTTGCTTGGTGAGGAGCAAATGAACTCTCACCTCCTATTTATAGGCCTTTGGCCTTACAGGAACATTCTAGATGTATACAAATGTGTGGCCTAGATTAAGTGTCTAGAACTCTCCAAAGAAATATCTATACTATTCTAGAACTATGTACAATGTTCAAGACAAGTCTAGAGAATTCTATACAACTCTAGACAAGTCTAGAAAAGGCTAGACAACTCCACACTAATCTAGAGAATTCCAGAAAGTTTCATACTTGTGTAGAGAAATTTAGAAAGCTCCGGTCCATGCAGGCTCCATGTCATCGTCTACTGGGCGTCTGCGTGGCGCCTGCGCGGCGTAGCCTCTTGATTGCGGGGCGTGACACCTAGGTCAACTGGCTGGTTCTAGAGCAATCTATTATTGGGCAATTTGCAGGTGTTGAGGGACTGGGGTTTTGCCTGCAACTATATATGTGTGTGTGAATATACATGTGTCTGTATAAAATATAAGAAATGGAATGAGAAAAGTGGTGGTGGCAGTTGTATACTGGTTGGTGGTGGCAAAATTTGTTATTTTATATGTTTATAAATGTTAAAATTGTAGTTTCATACATTAAATTGATCAATTCATAAGTCAAAGGGCAATGATATCAATTTACATGGGGTTGGGTGTCTTGTTAACTTAATAAAATTTGAGAAAATGTCATTGTCTGAAAAAAAACTTAACTTGTGTGTAGTTGTTCTTGTGACAAACCTCAAGGCACGTCATTCTATTTTATCCTTAAAAACATTAACCTTCATAATTAGGAAAGTTACAATAAAGATGAATGTTTTTTGGGAAATCCAACAAAAACTCCTCCCCCAGGATGTTCGATCCATCAATCACTAACACTAATCGACCGATAGCAATATCTATCATTTTTCTTCTCCAAGCATTGTTAACAATGCTCATCAGCTTATTGTCAAAACAATTTACATGTGGGTTGAACAAATTTATGAGTGAAGGGCAAAATTTTGTTAAAACCATTTAGATTGTGTTTATGCAAAGATACTGATGTTGGCAAGAAATTTATATGGTGTATTTCTTTGGACACTTCTGTTAAACTCATTTTGCCTAGTCCATATGAGACTGGTAAGAAATTAATATAGTGACTTAACTTTTTATTAGGTGCACATATCAATTAAGAGGCGGCATGCCTCTCAAACATCTTTCGTCGGTTTAGATCTATTCCCTAGCCTTTACGTTAATAAGGTGACTTGTGGTCATATCAATTAAGATGTGGCATGCCTCCCGAATAGCTCCCGTCCATTTAGATTTATCTTATACTCTTTAAGTCAATATGGTGATTTTTTATTAGGTGGACATATTAATTAAGACGAGGCATCAGGCATGCCTCCCGAATAGCCTCCATCCGGTTAGATCTATCCCATGGCCTTTAAGTTTACTAATCATGTCTTTACGTACCATTTTTGTTTAAATTATCAAAAGGTTTTACAAAAGATTAGGTGGATATATTAATTAAGACGTGGCAGGCCTCCCGAACAGTTTCCGTCCGATTAGATCTATCCTGCAGCCTTTAAGTTTACTAATCCCGTCTTCACATGCCCACTTTGTTAAAAAATTATCAAAGCAAATCATTTGTGACATTGACAAAGAGCTTATGTAAATTGGACAAAGGGAGGGCCCTTGATGGAGGGCCATAAATTTATGAGTTGTGATACTTAAGCCGAAGTCTCAAAGAGATTGCTTGACCGATAATTTTTGATTAGTTATCTCTACCATATATAAGGAAATGGAGGGTCCTACTTTCTTGTATTTTGTATACATGACCTATTAAAAGTTAAGGTATTTGCACTCATAACCCCTTAGGTTTGGATTAAAGACACCCATATATAATTTGACTACTTTTTAGACAATGACACTCATTAGGTTTACAAACTTGAACAATGACACCCCATTTTAAAAAATTGGAGATCAAACACAGCCTTAAGTGATATGAAATGTTTAATATGCCCTAAGATATATTTTAATCATCACCTAAAATGACCAAAATACCCTATCCCTCGTCTCTCTCTCTCTCTCATTCCTCTTACACTCCGTAAATCAAACCCAATTCTTACACACACACAAAAATTCTCAGGTTTTGGCTGCAGATGGAACCGGTTGGTGGGTTTTGCGAGGATGAACTCGGCCTCGGCTATGGAAAGCTCAGTCGGTGGAGAGCTCGACTGTGGATGGCTCGGCCATGGGGACTCGCTACGGTTGGTGAGGGCTTGGCCGTGATGAAGACGACCTCTACTATGGGCGACGGGAAGATCCTTGCTCACCGCGAGATCCCGTTGAACCGCCTTACAAACCCACCATCCACCTTGTCTCTATCGCGAACTGTCCTTGTCACCCCCGCCCGCTAGTGCAGTGCCATAAACCCACTGCGATTCTACCACATCCGAGCATTGCCGACGTTCATCCACAACCCATCTTGCCCATTGTTTTGTCAATCGCCGGTGTGCATAAGCCGTCCCTCATCGGTTCATTCTACTGGTCTATCCAGCCGAGCCCGTAGCAAAGGGCGAGCTCGGCGATGTGGATTTCTGTGATGAGTTTGGCTGTGGAATGTGGTCTGAACTTAGTCGCGATGGGGTAGGCAGAGAGCTTCGAAACGGCTCCCGACGAGCAAGGGGGAAGCTCGGATGAGATGGGCAGCCAGCTGCAAATAGCACAGACGGCGGATCAAATGGTGGATTGAACGGCGGGCAAGGCCAAAGATGGTTCGTGGCAGAGAGGAATAGCCGGTGGAGAAGGGCTGGTTCGACGGTGATTTGACTGGGTTCAATGGCTAATTAGTCCGAGTTGGACTCGGTGGTGGAAGAGGTTCGAGTTGGACTTGGTCGGGTTCAATGGTTGCCTCTGCTTTTGTGTTTATATATATATGTATATATAGATATATGTGTGTAATTTTGAGGTGTTGGGTTTGTGTGATAGTGGTGGTACGGGAAAGAAGATGGTGGTTATGGAGGTTGTAGTGGTGGTGAGTGAGGTTGCGGTGGTGGTGCCAAGTGAGTAGTGGTTGTGTATATTGGCTGAGGCTGCTTTGGTCATTTTACTCAGTCAGAGGGTTGTCGAAGGGTAAATATGTATTTTTATCATTTTGGAGTATCATTGTTCAAGTTTGTAAACTTGGGGTGTCATTGTCCAGAAAGTGGTTAAGTTATATATAGCTATTTTAATCCAAACTTAGAGGTGTCACTACAATTTACTAAAAGTTAACTGCAATTTACTAAAAGTTATCAGGTCGAGCAAATCACTTTAACTCTCATATCTAAAATAATTTTCCTAAATTTATTTTGGTGTACATACAATGATTAGGCTGCTGATAGAGTACTTAAAAGAGGGCTTTTTATTTTTTATTTATTTTTACATGAGACTCTAAATGTGAAGTTGTATAAACCATTCTCCCCCATCTTACATATCAAGTCATTAATTTACGGATGCTCAATCATGAAAATTCACCATATTAAGTTGTTGAAAGCCCTTTTTTTAAGTAAGTGAAATCACTTTTATTATGAAATAAAATTTCTACCAGCTGTGACTTGGTATGCCAACTTGAAAATATCTTCTCCAATGATAGCAGTTTGACGGTGATGAGACAGAGAGAGGTGGCCTAAGCGCACCAGAGCTAGTACTTGTATCGGGTTTAATTATGGTTATACCCTTTTATCTGCCCCACCCGACCCAGTTTTACATATGAAAACAATACAGAGGAATATTATTCATTGTTTTTTCTACAGAATTTCCTAGACAGGACAAAATTCAGAATGGGATGGTTGCATGAGAGTGACAGAGGGAGAGAAAAATTGAAATGGGAGCCAAATGCAACTTATCATCAAGAATGACACTGACACTATAGGCTCTGCTTAAATAGCATGTTAATGCACACACTGACTATATATATACATATGACACTATAGGCTCTGCTTAAATAGCTTGTTAATGCGCACACTGACGATATATATATATATATATATATATATATATATATATATATATACAAATCCAGCGTTCAAAGCCATTCAACCATTAGAAAATCGTCACAAAACGGTGGCCAAACATAACCACAATGAGAATATTCTTGCACTATTGTAGGTTTTTTATTTTAGAAAAAAGTTTAAATGTGAACGCAAAAATAGTGAGAAAGTCATTGTATATATATATATTGAAATTTTTCTTTAATCCTACGTAATAAAGTCATGACGATGTCATTTTTCACTCTCATAAAATAGTAAAAAATATCGAGTTTCAAGCTACTTATTATTATTCATATAATTTTTTATGATTCAAAAATGGAAAAAATTTACATCAGAAAAATTATATGCATTTCATGAAATTTTAATTAATTGTCAAACCGTACTGTTGGAATCAAACTATTGTTATACTTGTAATGTCAACTCAACACATAACTTTTCAATACAAAATAATTTAGTCAAAACTTTTATTTGAATTATAGTTTTAAATTTTTTGGACTCATCTCCATTAATATTAACACAGAATCTTGATTAAAATTTGGTGACCAGTCGTCACTAGTACTTTGTCTTAGTTTATGGATTTGGACAAGCACTTGGAGCTAAGGTTAGGTTTTGGCTTCTGTGGTCCCCCTCTTTGCCAGCCCTTTTCTTGTTCCATTGCGAAGTACTAAAAGCAATGTGCAACTTATATATGACCAAGTATTATATATGGAAAATTTTAACTATTTACTTGCAAGTCAAAATGCGTATGTCTTATTTGAGAAATTATTATATAATTTTGAAATTATTGATTTTAATCAATAGTTAAGATGTAAATAAAATTAAAATAGAATAAAAATAATATTTTTTTTTCTAATTGATACTCACACACACAGGCCTCTACTGAGCCTCGAATTTCTAACCTCTTTTTGAGGAATAGGGACTTAATACCGCTAGGTCACTGACCTGTTAATTAAAAAATAGTATTTGGTTGCCCATCAGCTAGTAATTTGCCTGAGATTAATATTTGGGCGACTGTATAATAATTTTTCATATTATTAATAAAAGAAGAAGATAATAATAAATAAATCTATGATTCAGTCATTGGTGTGGTATAAACCGTGGTTTCGATTATTATTGTGTTATTCCATTTGCCTCAACTCTCTCTCTCACACACCCATGGCTTTGGAGGAAGAAAGAGAAGAGCACCATGTACTACCTCTCATGGAGCCCTTGAAGAAAGAAAAAGAAGAGCATCATGTGCTAATGGTAGCATTTTCAGCTCAAGGTCACATTAATCCCATGCTTAGACTAGCCAAACGCCTTCTCTCCAAAGGCCTCCATGTCACTCTAGCCACCACCGAGATCGCCCGCCAACGCATGCTCAGCTCCTCCGCCACCACCACCACCGCCATGGCCGACAATTCCATAGCCGGAATCAGCCTCGCCTTCTTCTCCGACGGCCTAAGCCTCGACTACGACCGCAAGACCAATCTCGACCACTACATGGACACCCTAGCAAAATTTGGACACATAAACCTATCCACCATAATTCACAACCACACTCAAAGCCATGGCCGAAAGTTCTCATGCATCATCAACAACCCTTTCGTCCCGTGGGTGGCCGACGTCGCCGCCGAGCATGAAATCCCATGTGCCATGCTTTGGATTCAACCATGCACGCTCTACTCTATATACTACCGCTTCTACAACAATCTTAACCAATTCCCAACCTTAACCAACCCTGATATGAGCATAGAATTACCAGGACTGCCCTTGCTTCACACACAAGACCTACCCTCTTTTGTTCTTCCTTCAAATCCTCTGAGCACCTTTCCCAAATTATTCACCGAATTGTTCCAAAACATGAAGAAGCTGAAATGGGTTTTGGCTAATTCGTTCTACGAGCTCGAAAAAGATGTGATTGAATCCATGTCCGAGCTCTGTCCCATCAAACCCATCGGCCCGTTAGTACCATCAACACTGTTGGGTGAAGATGAAGAGACCGATGCCGGTATCGAGATGTGGAAGTCTGAAGACAGTTGCATCGAGTGGCTGAACCAACAAGAGCCCAAATCGGTCATTTATGTCTCCTTTGGAAGTATTGTTGTGTTGTCGGCCAAGCAAATGGAGAGCATCGCAATCGGTCTAATGAACACCAAACGGCCATTTCTTTGGGTGGTGAAGGCATCTGATTACCAAGTCAAAGACGGTGACGGACAATTTCCACTAGGGTTTAATGAAGAGACTAAAGACCGAGGCCTTATCGTGTCGTGGAGTCCTCAGATAAAGGTGCTGTCACACCCGTCCGTCGCGTGTTTCTTGAGTCACTGCGGATGGAATTCTATGCTAGAGACGATCACGGCCGGTGTGCCCGTGATTGCTTATCCACAGTGGACTGACCAGCCGACGAATGCCAAGTTCATTTCCGATGTTTTACGCATAGGTGTGAGGCTGAGGCCGAACCAAGACGAAGGGGTGACCGATGAAGAGGTCACAAAATGCATAGAGAAAATTATGGTAGGGCCGAGCTCGGAGGAGTTCAAAAAAAATATGGCCGAATTGAAGATGGCTGCTCGGGAGGCGGTGGCCAGTGGCGGCTCAACTGACCGGAACATTCAGTGGTTCGTAGATGAGATCATAGGAAGTCAGGGTACATTAATTTCATGATGTTGAAATGGAACCTAAATGTGTGGTCAATTTAGGGTTTGTGTAAGATAAGTTCATGCATGGATGCTTTTTTTTTCTTTTTGTACTTTTGTACATGACACGACAAGAGATGTTGTGGCGTTAGAGACGTCTCTGCAATAATGAATGTGTTGGCTAAATTTAAGACTATGAGGCCAAGAGGTAGTACCCATATCCAATGAAAAAAATTATTTTCTGGTGCCCAGATTACATTTGGTCCGAAATATATAACAAACCGACATAAAACAAACAAGTTGATTTTATTAAAAAATAATAATTCTTTACGTGTCAGTTTTTTATTCGAAACAATCTAATACTGTAATTTCTATGCTCAAAGATGTCATGACCATAATGTAGACTAGGTTGAATTATGTTATGTGATGTCATGCTCGTAACGTAGACTAGACTCCTCTAGTGGCCAACAAAATCACATTGCGAATCGTGTGTGAAGAAAATTTAGGAACAAACTTTTTTTTCTTTGGCTCTATATGAATTAAGGCATGCATTTCTTGGTAATTAAGGCCACACCAAGTCAAACATAAAAACTCATGATATCTTGACTGATCGACACCATATGGTACAGAACTTTTAAGTTACTACTTTTTAAGTTACTATGTATTATTGTTAATCAAAATGTTACTCCGTTTTAAAATAGGTGGGTATTTGACAACTCAATTTTTAAAGTATCTCAAAGTATATGCCTTCGGGACAATTTCAACTACTCCATTAAATATGCATAATTTGTCCAATGCGCATGTAAAATTTTTTCCTGACAACACTCAAACACTCGATCCAATCTTTTTCTTTTTCATGCCTACACATTTCGTTTATACTTGGCTTGGTGACTAATTCGAATGGAAGCAATATTTAGAATGCATTCTGAAAAAATATATTCGACAACATTATATTTGTCTTAAGATTTTTAAAAGTAAAATTATAAAAAAATGTGTTTAATAAAAAATAATGTAAGTTTCAAAAATTAAATGGCTAATTAATAGGTTAATTAGGAATATTTTTAATGCCTTTTATTGTTACATTGCTTTTGCTAATGAAAAGCCGAAACAATTCTTTTGCTAGTGAAAAGCCGAAACAATCAGAAACACCAATTTGATGTTTCCAATTTTAACCTATTTTTAAAAAACTTTTCAATACTATTCAAACGCGCCTCACTATTTTACTTCGCTAGTCTAAAACCAAAAAAACTAAGCAGAAACCGGGCTAAAAAGGGCATTTATTGACTCTCAACCATTTTTGGGTGGACCGCACAGCAATTAGGGGCACAACTAATGATGGAAGATGATAATAGATTATCCAATTACAATTGGAAATTAAAGGAAGTAAGATTTGAACTCACAGTAGGAAAAGAAAATCTACGAGTTCCCCTCTCAAAAAAGGAATGCACATGCTTCTCACCGTGTCAATACATAATTGATGCATCTGTTTGGTTGACAAGAAAACGGAAAACGGAGAGGGGGGAAATATAGTAGCACGAAAAATCTTTTTTCTACCCGTCCTATTCTTCTTGGTAACCAAACAAATACAAAAGGTAAATAAAGTTTTTTTTTTTTTGTTAAAAAAAAACCTTCATTACCAATCTTAATATTCTGCTTTGTTCATTCCCTATACAAAGATAAAATAGAAATAGAATATGAACTTTACAGCATATACATTATACACACAGTAAGATACAGTCGTGGACCATGTCCATCACTTACTGCTTGAAGCAGTCAGTCAAATACTACTAGACCTTCTCCATGACTTGAAAAAAGCGATCATACTGTCGAAAACATCTTCCTTTGCGTTTACACTCAAAAGGAAGTCTATGTGACCATACTTCTCAAGATAAAGCAACTCTGGTTTAGACTGCAGATCCTTCAGGGTGTGCTGCACATCCATAACGTCTGCCAAGGCATCATTTCCCCCATAAGCCATCCATAATGGCAATGACTCCGGTATGCGGCTAAGATCAAATTCTGGGGGTTTTAACTGGCCATATTGCTTCAGGTTTTTCCAGATTCCATAGTCATACTTCGCAAAAGTACCCTTACGGATCACTGCAAAGAGAGAGGGTCAGAAACAAACCAGACAGGAGAGAGAGAGAGAGAGAGAGAGAGAGAGATACTTTCTCAACCGAAACTATATTACACATTTCTCGAAGAGCTTTGAACGATCTCGTGATAGATTTTGCAAATGAAATACTGCATCTCCAAATTCCAATAGACCAATAATCAAATCATATGCAAACAAGCACAAGACTTTCTAATCATCCTTTTGTTTCTCACTTCAGATTCTCAAATGCATAAACCATAATGAGCATAAGGATCTTCTAAAATTTTTAATCATGCATCTAATGCCTCAATAAAACAAAAGGGGGTGGAAAAGTTGGTTAACAACCAAACTTAGAAAGTTGAGGTCTTGAGTTCGCTTACGACAGGCTCACAAGGATTGGGCCTGCCATGTGACTAGGGGGAACTAGTCTCACCCAAGGAGTGAGGACACCCCTCTAGTCTCGCGCGTGCGCGAGCGCGCGTGCACACACACAAAAAGCACCAACTTTCAAGTCATGCTGAGCATGAGCCAATAAGTATCACCAACACAGCTTACTAACTTTTGACTTAAAGCACATGCTGGAACTAATCAAACGAATATTTTTGGCGTAGATGTTCTTTTTCATGCCAACTCTTCCAAGCATCTAAAACAAATATTTGAACTACATTAATAAGAAATAAAATTTGGAGTTAAAAATGGGATCATTAAAATAAAATATTAATTGGCACAATAAAAAAATTCTCTGGTGATTTTTCAGATCTAGAAAAATCTCATAATTACATTTTTAAGACTGTTCTACAACTTTATTGATATTTTATTGCACTTCACCAAATTATACTAGAGTAAGGCATATGCTCTAGGAATTACTTGATGTTAATACTAGAAAATGAATATATATTCTTTGAGACTTCTTGCAGATCTTAAAAAATTTCACTTTATATTTCTGACTTTTATATAACTTCAATTTCTTGCACCTTAAGAAACTATTCTTCGAAATACATAGATGCTTCCTGGTACTGGGAGTATATAGTGGAATCAGGTCTGAACCACACCATTAAATCATAATGAAGCATACAAATCAAACAATAACTTTCTGCAGTCAAAAGCAATGCTGTAAAAGTATAATTGGGATATTTAAGGCATCAACAATTTGCATCAAATGGAAATATATATGTCTTTTGCAAAACGATTGCATGGAATTATAGAGGGAAAATGCAGATGTATTGTGGAGCTAAATGGACCAAATATGATATAACAAGAGCAAAGAACATACTTTGGAAAAGATGATTCAAATTCTTCGATGATGAAGGGTGGGGTTCATATTCAAGGTAGAAATCCACCCGAGAGTTGTTAAAGCAACAGTTTTCTCCTGAAAATTGATCAAATTGCTTAAATAAGAAGTTGCAAGAATGATATTTAAGCAAATAATTTGAACACAACATAAGATAGTTCCACCAACCATTAAGTTAGTACCTCTCAGTCCGTATCTTAACCAGGTTGCCAACTATACATATGCATATTTCATAAGATCCATGTTGCCGACTATATGCTTCCTCAATTAATAAAATTGCCTCAAGGATTAACCAGAAGCATTAAAATTGACAAAATTTATACATTGCATTAACTGTTTTATCAGATCTCGACTGTAACTTCACAATTCTAGACAAATAAAAATTGAATGCCTTATCGAAAAGTAATACATAGATTCCTTCCCACTAGAAGGATGGGTTGTGGAAAATATCAGTCATATAACATCGAAATGAAATAGTTTCTTCCTATCCAAACTTAAATTTAATGCAGTGGCTCTAGGCTACATCCTCCCTCTTGGACGAAATTGATGAAGAACAATCTATCCTTATTGCTTCAGATACACAAAATATCTATCTTGGACATGCATCTTAAAGATCACAATAATACTATTGGAGGAAATATTATTAGAAAAACTGTGTTTAATATAAAATACTAGTTCCTTCATATTTACAGTAATATGATCATATACAAAGTAGGCTGGCCATGCATCTCGAACTTACCTCATAGGAACTGATTTTTATTTAGGTGAATAATGAATTCCAGGAATTTAAGTGACATATGGAACCAATATTATGATCACCAAACTTACAGAAACTAGAGAGATGCAAATTCTATTACATTATTCTGAATTCAATTCATGGAATTAAATTTTAGATAAAAGAGCTATTTAACATTGCTAAGATCTGAATTATTGCCAAAAAGTGGCCTTGATAGAACGATTACACTTTTTATACTATATATAGATGGAGTAAAAACTCTGAAGCATTGGTACTACACATTACAAACCATGGAGTTGCCTAGACCTAATCCAGCCATATATATTTGCCACTTTTTGGCCTAAAACCATTCCTGCCCTAAATCCCTCGTCACAGCAACACCCATCCCTATTTTCCCTATTTTCCCTCACCGTCAACTATTCACTCCTTTGAGCCGGTCGTACCACCAACCCTCACGGCTTCTTCTTTCATTTAGTCTCACAGCAATATTGATCTCTGGAGAACCCCCATGGCTCGGCTCAAGGTTAGATTCATCAAAAAGTTCCGAAATCGGTCATCTTCATAATTTCCAGTGAGCATATCTAGAAGCTTGTTATATTTTTACTTTTACATATTTAAGAACAAGAATAAGAAAAAATGCATGCCAAAGGATTTCTGACCCGCCTGATATTATCCCTTTCCATATTTTTGCTTTCTTTTTTTTTTTTCTTTTTCTTTTTCTTTTTACATATAGCTAAAATACAATTACTAACTGAGTAGCAAATGATGTTGGGAATGCCAATGGAGAGAGACCCACATGCTAATTATTTGAGCAATATGTGAAAACATTTACATATATGCTGGGTCTTATAATTTTTTGCGTATCAGAACCCTGTTTAAAACACTGCATTTGCCACCTTAAAAAAATAATCCTAGTTTCTTGATGATTTTCAGGTTATTATTGGGCTGCTTCTCGAAAAGCGCCATCTGTAAAACTAATCCAGTCTTGCACATTTCAGACTGGTTTGGTTTTGATGTTCACATTGGTTCCATTCCATAGTTGTTAAAGGCGCCGAAGGCGCGCGCCTGAGGCGCCAGGCGCCTCCAGGCGCCACCTTGGCGCCTTGAAAGGCTTAGGGCGAGGGCCTTGTAATAGGCGTGCGCTTTTGGGGATTAGGCGCAGGGCTACAGGCGCGGCACAGGCGCGCCTGTTTGAAAAGTTTTTTTTTTTGATTTTTTTTTTTTTATTATTTTGGTTGCAACTTGCAAGTCTTGTGAATTGTAACAGAGCCACGTGATATATTCAGATTCTCAGATATGTCACAGTCACTTTAAGCTTTTATCAGTTGTCAAAAAAAAAAAAAAAAAAAAAAAAAGCCGGAAGCAAAAAGCGAAGGAAAAGGGAAGAAGAGAGTAAGAGACAGAGAAGAGAGAGAGAAGTACAAGCCGGAAGCTCGTCGGATGATCGGATCTGCTGTCTGCGAAGCCCGGATCTGCAAAGCGCCTGTAAGTTCTTCTCCTTGCTTCTTCTTCTCTCCTTCTTGCTTCTTCTTCTCCTCTGTTTTTTTTTTTTCTTTTTTCTTTTTTTTTTTCTTCTTCTTCTTTTCTTCAGTTCTCTTCTCTCGTCTCTTCTCTCGGCTCTCAGTCTTGCTTTTTTATTTTATTTTTTTTTTTATTTCTTTTCTTTGAGCCGAGTCTCGGCTCTTTTTTCTTTTTTTTCTTTTTTTTTTTTTTTTTTTTCTTCTCGGCTCTTTTTATTTTTATTTTTCCTTTCCTTTTCTTTTTCTTTTTTTTTCTTTTTTCTTTTTTTTTTTCTTCTTCTTCTTTTCTTCAGTTCTCTTCTCTCGTCTCTTCTCTCGGCTCTCAGTCTTGCTTTTTTATTTTATTTTATTTTTTATTTCTTTTCTTTGAGCCGAGTCTCAGCTCTTTTTTTTTTTTTTTTTTCTTCTCGGCTCTTTTTATTTTTATTTTTCCTTTCCTTTTCTTTTTCTTTTTCTTTTTTTTTTTTTTTTTTTTTTGCCCTCTATTCTTCTTCTCTCGGCTCTCACCCTCTCTCTGATTTTTTTTTCTTATTTTTTTTTTAATTTTTTTTTCCTTTCTATTCTTCTTCTCGGCTCTCTCTGACCTTTTTTTTAAATTTTTTTTTTCTTTCTATTCTTCTTCTCGGCTCTCTCTGCTTCTAGCCTTCTGCTCTTCAACCTCTTCCTCCTTTATTTTTGTTTTTTATTTTTTTATAATCTGAGTTGCTGGAATAAATTGTAGTTTACAACTTTACAATTTTGTGCTGGAATAAATTGTAGTTTACAACTTTACAATTCTCTGCTGCTAGAATAAATTGTAGTTCACAACTTTACAATTCTGAGCTGGAATAAATTGTAGTTTACAACTTTACAATTCTGTGCTGCTGGAATAAATTGTAGTATACATATCAGTTGGTATATGCCTATATGGTATCATGCAGTCCATATATGCATATATATTACATCTCATATAGTTGATAAATCTCATATAGAATTTATCATGCAGTGTCCATATATGCCTTTGATTCTTTGAAGCTCTGTAATTTTTTTTTTTTTTTGTCAGAGTTGTTGTAGACACTGATTACATGATGCTAATCATGTTATTATTTTGTTATCTTGAATTTGATTGTAGTTTGTACTTTAAAAGATGCCTAGTGATGGTTCAAGAAAGGATCCGGCATGGAATTACTCACATTTGGAGAATCCGAAAGATACAAATGCCGTCACTTGTAACTTTTGTGCAAAAGTTACAAAAGGAGGTATTTATCGGGCTAAGCAACACATAGCTGGAGGGTATAGAAATGTGAGTGCATGCACAAGATGCCCATCTAGTGTTAGAGAAGAAATCAAAGAGTACATGAGTAAGAAAAAGGAAGAAAAAGAGCAAATGAATTTATTACCTAGTGATGAAATTAATTTCCTTGATGGAGAGGATGAGGATGATGTTATGGAAGCTAACAATCGGCGAAAAAGGGTAGCTAGTGCGGGTAGTGGCAGTGCTAGTGTCAATTCCTCAAAGATGCAAAAGCAAAAAGGACCGATTGATTTATATTTCATTCCCAGACTAGAAATTGTGGTACAAAAAAGAAAGGAGGGGGGAAAACAGACAACCATTAATGATGCATGCAAGAAAGAGTTGAGAGGAAGAGCGTGTGCTGCTTTTGCAAGGTGGATGTATGATGCAGGAATTGCATTCAATGCTGTTAAGTATGATAGCTTTGCCGAGGTTGTTGAAGCTATTGGACAATATGGTCCCGGCATGAAACCACCTAGTTATCACGAGGTGAGAGTTCCTTTGCTTAGGAAGGAATTGGATAATACCAATGCTTTGATGAATGACCACAGAGAGGAGTGGTCAAAATTTGGATGCTCATTAATGGCAGATGGGTGGACAGACAAGAGAGGGAGAACATTGCTTAATTTCCTAGTAAATAGTCCAAGGGGAACCATGTTTATTGAATCGATAGATACTTCTTCTTTTTCAAAGGATGGTGCAAAGATGTTTGACTTACTTAATAAATTTGTGAACCGCATTGGAGTAGCAAATGTCGTTCAAGTCGTCACAGATAGTGAATCAAGCAATAAGTCTGCCGGTAAGAATGTTCAATGTTTATAACTTCAAGAGTATGTAAATTCTTTACATATATAATTTAAATCTTTTTTGATTAATATATAATTTATATCATTTTTTCTTTTTTCCGTTTGGTTTCAAATAGAGAGGATGTTAGAGAAAGAACACCCACATTTGTATTGGACACCATGTGCTGCTCATTGCTTAGACTTGATGTTAGAAGACATTGGGAAAATACCGTCCATCTCCAGAACAATGCAGAGGGCGGTGGAGTTGAATAGTTATATCTATATGCGTCCAAAGTTGTTGAACATTATGAGGAACTTTACTTCTAAAAAGGAGTTGCTTAGGCCCGCTAAGACTCGATTTGCTACATGTTTCATCACATTATCAAGTATTCACAAGCAAAAGAATAACTTGAGGAAGATGTTTACTTCAGAAGAATGGAATCGTAGTAAATGGGCGAAAGAGGAAGCTGGTAAAAGAGTTGCTTCTTATGTTTTGATGCCTTCCTTTTGGAACAACATTGTCTTTAGCCTTAAGGTTTCCGGTCCTCTTATTCCGGTTTTGAGATTAGTTGATGGCGAGAAAAAGCCTCCCATGGGATACATTTATGCGGCTATGGATAGGGCTAAAGAAGCCATTGCAAAATCATTTGGGGAAGTAGAAGACAAATACAAGGATATCTTTGAAATAATTGATAAGAGGTGGAATGTTCAACTTCATCGCCCTTTGCATGCAGCAGGTTATTATTTGAACCCAGAATACTTTTATTCAAATCCGAAAATTGAAGAAGATGAAGAGATTGCAAAGGGTTTGTATGCATGCATTGCAAGGTTAATCCCAGATATCAAAGACCAAGACAAAATTACTGAGGAGCTGTCCTTATATTCTAAAGCTGAGGGCCTCTTTGGTAATCCCTTTGCTATTAGACAGAGAAATACACGAGGACCAGGTAAAGTGGTAAAGTATATTAAGTTAGTATAGCTAAGTGTTAAAATTATTTTGACAATAGAGTCGATAGAAAGATGAAGCTAAAGTTGCTAAACATCATTATTAATTTTTTTTAATAGCTAATTGGTGGGAAGCTTATGGCAAGTCAACAAAACTTCTCCAAAAGTTTGCTATAAAGGTTTTAAGCCTTACTTGCAGTTCTTCTGGTTGTGAACGAAATTGGAGCGTGTTTGAGCATGTAAGTATATACTATCTACTAACTAGGTTTGTAATTTAATTGTTGAAAGTTAAAATTTTAATTTTTTATACTTACTAGTTAAGGTTGAATTTATTGCAGCTTCATAACAAGAAAAGAAATAGGCTCGCTCAAACAACTTTGAATGATTTAGTGTTCATCAAATATAATAGAGCATTGAAGCGTCGATATAATATGCGTGACACTCTTGATCCCATTTTACTCGATGACATTGATGAGAGCAACGAGTGGTTAACGGGGAGGATGGATGATTCTGATGCAGAACATGATCTAGTCTATGAAGATGATTCCTTGACATGGGGTGATGTTGCTAATTTTGCTGGTATTGGAGAGGCTAGCAGGCCGCAACGGTCTACTAGATCAAAATCTAGTTCTAGTTCACGGTTACCAACAAAGGGAGCAGGAAGTTCTTCAGTTCGACTTGTGGATGAGGATGAGGATGAGGATGATTCAGATGAGATAGAAGAGGATCCTGAGAATTATGAATCATTTAGTGACGATCAAAATGATGTTATGCTTATTGATGACGAGGATGATATTTAGATTCATTGGTGTTGTCTTCTTAGGAAGAAATGATGTTTATGTTTGTTTTAGTTTTATTTTATACTTCTCCTTAGTTGACTTTCGCATCTTTATGTTAATATGTTTGATTATTCACTGTTTTGAACTCAAGTACTTGATTTAATTAGTTTTGGCATCTTTATGTTGAATATTTAACTTAAATAATTCATTTAGTTGACTTTTATATCTTTGTATATACTATTGCATCTTTAATACTTATTGGGTGAGTTTTGTTTTTTTTTTTTTTCCAACGTGCGCCTTGCTTCAGTCGGGCGCGCGCCTCGCCTTGCGCCTTGCGCCTCAGGCTCCAGGAGGCATTTGCGCTTTTGTGCGCCTTGAGCCTTTAACAACTATGTTCCATTCCGTTCAATTCATGGAACCATTGGGATTGGATTGGTTCTGGTTCTCTGCCTAAACCGTACCAATCCGATCTGTATGCACCCCTAGGTGAAATCCTGCCATTTAATGAATCAATACCTTGAAGATCATGCTCTAATAATTGTCTTGATACAGTGATCCTACCCACTGTAATCACCACATATCTTTCTATATCATATGATTGAAAATAGTCAGAGTTACTAGGAGATATCGACTGGTCTATCCTAAGGTTCCATTTGGTTCATAATTTGGTGAGGGAACATGAAGAAGAAAATGATTCTCCTGGTATTCTCTCACAATTTTAAATGAGATTAAAAAGTAAAAATTCTCAAAAATGATTGAGAATAAAGAAAAGCAAAATGAAATTCACATGAAAAGGATTTCATTTGTAGTATTTGTGGGCGGGTGTGTGTGGGCGGGTGCAAGGCATTGACAGGCTACCATGATGGCAGGCTACGGGTGCACAATCCCACATGTCCTGGGTGTGGAAAGGGGAAGTGTTTTATGGTAGGTGGTGCTATCTCCAAAGAGTATGAGGCCTTTTGGTGTAAAACCCAAGAACAAATCCATGCAGGCTCGGGTACAAAGCGGATAATATCATACTATGTGGTGGAGCGGATTGTTACATATGGAATTAGAGTCTGACCTAGCCGGAAATGTGGCCAAGAAGGGCGTTGGGCCCCTAAGGGGGGCGATTGTGGCTACCTTGTGGGCGAGTGTGCGTGGGTGAGTGCGAGGCAATGGTAGGCTACCATGCTGGTAGACCATGGGTGCACGATCCCACATCGCCGGGGTGCGGAAAGGGGAAGTGCTATATATATAGCCTATAAGTGGTGCTATCTCCAAATGGTATGAGACCTTTTGGGGTAAAACTCAATAATAAAACCGTGCGGGCTCAGGTCTAAAGTGGACAATATCATACCAGATGGTAGAGTGGGTTGTTACAACATGCCTCTCTTGAGGTAAAATTATGCCCAAACCAAACCCATACTAGATCACTGATGGCTCCAATGGCCGCTGTTTCAAGGAAGAACAGTATTTTACCCTCTAAAGTTATAGCTTCAAAATTTAGACTACCATTAATCAACAAATGAACATGTTAGACCACACCATAAAAGACAGCTGGGCCACTGGAGCCATCAAAGCAGTCCAGTAATAAATATTTCAACAGCTCCAGATTTGGATGCAATTCTAGTTGCATAGAAAATATAAAGTTGCAATAAGATATCAAAATCGATATATATTTATGTAAAGAAAGATACTGAAAGCATGGATTTTTACTTAATTATTTAGCAATTTAATATTCCATACAGTTATCTCATTTTAAAAATTTATGATATTCTTCTAGATCATAGCCTTCTGGAAAAAAGTGGCCTACTTGAAAGAAGGTTTCCAAATACTGTTTGACAGTTCACCAATAAGCTAGCAACTACTATAGTTTGGTGAACAGTATAGGTTTGAGAAATTGGACAATTCTACAAAACCAGATGATCAAACAAGGTAAAGAAAAGCCTCCATAAATAAAAGGGTCATTATCCAATATGGTCCCCGTTAATCAAAGGTCCTGGGAGGGGCAGACTGGATATAGACCTAACTGTTGGCATAATACGTAAAAAGTGACTGCTCAGGATTTGAGTACATATTCTCATGCTTGACAGCCAGAGCATGTTACCACTGAATCAGGCAATGTTGCCTATATAAACAGGTGTCATCAAGTTGTATACTGAACTTTTTAAAGTGTGGAAGTAATTCCACTTTAGATCAAAGTCTACAAACATGATCAGCGTTACATTGGAAATTTTCATGGGAAAAAAATGTAAACAAATTATGACATATATGATATATCCCTGACATTTATTTATAGGTGCAATCCACATGCAAGACACATGAAGTGAAGAAGAACCTGTAATAGAAGTTAGCAAGTCGTTGCAGTCTACATGCCCATCACATATCGAATCCAAGATATAAGCGCCCACATCACTGAATGCATAATAAGCACACCATAAATTAGTGCAAGCAAAACTAATAAACCCTGAAAAAAATGAGCAGAAACGGGGAAATGTGACCTTTTAAAATTAAGTTGATGAATGCCCATTGCAAGAATCACCTGTACAGAGAAGATTATGCCATCAATATTGCCAAAAATCGATTCACATACTAGCACATTCAAATGAAAAATATACCCGGTCAAGATGCATATTGACTATTCTATGAACAAATGGAGCACTAATATGTTCCAAATATGATATAGGGCAAAGAAGGGCAGCAGCTTCAACCATTTTCACTATATCTGGTTGAGTGAAAGCAGCCAGAGACATGATTGTCCCCTGTAAAGTGAAAAATCACCATATTAACAGGAAGGACCAGAACCCAAAGGTAAAAACTGGCTAAACAGTGAGCTACGAAGAGCTGACCTGTGAATGCCCAACAACAAATATTTTTGAGTTTGTAACCAAATTCACAAAGTGGATCATTTCTGCAAGGTCATACAGAGCCAATTCCTCCCAACTCCAGTCCCAAAACTCCTAAAACAAAAAAAAGACTGTCATCATATCACAGGCGAGAATATGTATCGACAAGACAAACTTTTTAGTTTTTTATTAGACAACCATTCAGCATAGGTACACATTCATGATATCAGTTAGTTAGACCCCAAAAAACTTCATGTATAGATAACAATCTGAATACATTTTCTGTTAACTAACTACAAATTTACAAGCGCTAGTTATTTTCTCCATGGAATGGCTAAATTGTTGCCACATAGCAGATTTTTTCATTACAAAATGTGACTGCTATAAATTTAATCCCAAGGCAGTTCATGCATATGTGCTCCCTCTTGAATCCCTTCCCTTGTCTCTCAACACTTTCCAACACAGTGAACTTTCATTTAACTTTGCTATTTGAAAATCACATAAAAATATTTTAAAAATTACTGTTACTGTTATCAGTAATGGAATTTTAGGGCTTGACATTTTACTTTTCGTTATGAGGTTGTCATAGATTGGCTGTCAACTCTATCCAAAAAGAACATGATTGCAGTATTTCCACATGGCCCCAAAATGTATAAATTGTTCTAAAAATTTTCACCGAGTAATAATCAAAGCATATATGGGACATCTGTACTCATTTAAGTTAAGATCTCTTTTAGTATCTGTGGTATGTTCCACTTTTCTTATCTTTTTCTCACCTTTTTTTTTTTTTTTTTTTTTTTTTTTTTTTTTTTTCCAACATTTTTTAAGTGTCGCCACTTGGCCTATCAAATGCTTGTTGCCACTTGAAGAAAAAATGAGAAAAAAATATTTTGATAAGGAAAAATAGCGGAAAGACGATTAGGAATATTGCAAGGTAGGAAAAATACAATAAAATGGGAACACGCACATCGCACATGTCTTTTATTAATAAAACAAATAAACATGTTTATAATTGTGTGTATATATATATATTGGCTGTATGTATATACAAATCAAAAAAAAAAAGGATTGACTCAGGGTTTACTCATGCTTTTGTGGGTTTCTAACCATGTCTATAGCTAACCAAATGTGCTCAAAACAGTATTAAAGAAGTCATTGCCCGGTGTTTTTCCCCTTAATCAAGTGGGCAGAGGGACCAGATTTGGTACTAACCCAACTTTAGTATAATTTGCACAAAGTATCTTAACAGCTCAAGCTTTTACCACTGCACCAGATAAAGATTTCATACTCAAAATAGCATGACAAAACTAAAAAAGAGCACAAGACATGTGAATATAAGTCATGTATACCTTATCTTTCTCTGACAAAGATGTATGCCCATGACTCCAACGCGTCCCACGCACATTTCCAACCCAAACATCAAAACCACGATCAGCAAGGATGAAGCCCAATGATTGATCTATGGAATCCAGAAACCAAGCATCACCTGACTGTTAATTTTTTAAAATTGCGTAAACATCGAAACAAAATATGTCAGCAAATAAGGTACACTTTATTGGAAACGTATAGTTCCATATAAATAAATATCCCTTAAATAATTAAATAAATAAATAGATAATCAAATATTTCTCTATAGTAAGGGTATGTCGAATGCGAAAAATATAAGAGGGGAGTATCTAACATTGATAATAGAAAATAAATGTACTCTCTCTCTCTATATATATATAATATGTGTAAATAAAAATCCACTTTATAAGAGAAATCAAAAGTCAACCATCACAATCTGGGAAACACATCCATTGAAGTTAATTGAGGTTTTCTAAGAATACACACAACACAGATGTGGCCAAAGACCATAAGCTATCAGAGTTTTTACTCACCCAAATTAATTCTACTTCCTAGATCTCTGGAGAGTGGAGACTACTCTTTTAATGACACCAAAGCTCAGAACCCCATATAAACACTCCTTTTATTCTTGGACTACATTCAGTAAAATATTTCAATATTCCTTTCTGGGAGCAAGAGATAGGATATTCGTCTAGAAGAGGAGGTAAGGATTCCTTTTCACTATTACTATTAGTACTGCATGATACCCAAAAAGATATCATCATCATCAAAGGTCATACACCGTCTTTACCATTACATATTCTGATGATGTCCTTGCACGACTAGTCTTGTATTTCTCTCCATTGTTAAATTAGATAAGGAATTTTAAAACATAAATGTCTCGTTTCTCCAACTGTAGTTGGGAAAAAGGTTTGTTGTTGTTGTTGTTGCTGCTGCTGCTGCTGTTGTTCTTCAAACAAAAAAAAAAAAAAACCTTTAATATGTCTATAAATTTAGTTTGAGCTACGGCTTCAAAGAACATGTTCGCACCATGCTTTAGCAATAATCAACTTGCTTATGTACTTACCAAGCCCCCTTTGTTTTTTCTTGTGGTTAAACTAAGCACCTTCAAACAACAAGGGAACATTACTTCTTTTTCGTCACCAACGAATTCTCCTAACATTTTGTCTTTCCCTTGCACTTATATGTTACATATACATTTCAGTATGTGTGGATCACATGTGTTGAACAAATTTTGAATTAGTAAAGGTACGCAATGAGTATCAGCCAAGCTTACCACATGCCAGGTTCAAAGAAGGGTTGGCCCAGTGCACAAGGCTCCCGCCGTTATCGAATCTAGGGAGGGTCAGATGTATGTATCTATACCTCCAGGGTTATTTCCTTGATTTGAACCCGTGGCCTCCAGGTCACAATGGAGTAATCTTACCATTGCGTCAAGGCCCACCCTCATTAAGCGGTCGCCTAAAGCCAACTAAAAATATCCTCAATGTATAGTTTTTATATGGGTCCCACTATAGGTTTCCTATATTTTTTAATATACATTTTCTCTTCATATGGGGGCTATTCTGAGTATCTTTAACGTTAATTTACATTGAATAATGCAAAAGTTTCTTCTAATCCTCTCTCTCTCTCTCTCTCTCTCTATATATATATATATATATATATATTCCTTTTCTTAAGTCTCTTCTATCTCCTATTTTTATTCCCTCATGCCTCTTCTTTCTCTAACCTCTTCTCTCTCATAGTTTTTTTTATCCTCTAATGCCTTTTCTCTATCCTCTTTTTTTTTTTTTTTTTTTTTCTCACACCTTCTTCCTATTTCTTCTGACTTGTTAACTACTTCCTATCTTCTCTCTCTTGTGCCTTTTCATATTCGTCTAAATTTCATCTTTTTTGTTAACTTCGTTTTGAGTGTGCTTGAATGTAATCTTCAATCTAACCACTGTCTTTATAAAAATTACTCAAAAAATTCTTTTAAAAATTTAATGAGCAATTTTGCATCTAAAAGCAAGAAGAAAGATTTTTAAACAAAAAAAAATCCTAATATTATTTTATGCCAACAAGTCGTACAAAAGGTCATATTTTGAGTTTTTGTCTTACGCCTCAATTTGCACTGAGCAGGCACTAACACCAACCACTTCCCGACCAAAACTGCCTGACAAATGAACAAAGGAACAGAAACCTAGTTCACTTGATGTTCATAGGATACAATCCAAAATTTTACTCTTTTAATATATAGACATTTCAGAATGTGCATCGAGTACCCATGTCTGTTCTGCAAGCATACATGCTTTTTCTTAAGTTAACAACATATATAACTTGGCCATATTGTTAATTAGACTGTGTCTCCTTGTATAAAGATTTAGGGATTTCACAAATCTGATACCTAAACAGACATGCACAGTAGACAGCCTATACTAATCTAATGTAATATAGCTTCGAACTTTATAAATTGCTAAGAAGTAGCATTAATAAAAGTTTCACAATCTGAAATTTTACTATCAGCATTGCAATGCTGGAAACAACATAAGTTATGTCGCCCTATCAACTCACAGAATTTTTTTTCTTTCTTCTCCGTTAGTGCTCTACTTGCAAATGTGTCAGTTATAACTTTAATGTACAGACTTATAGAGAGAGAGACTTTAACCTACCTAAAGTCACATAAAGTATAAACACAAAATAAAATTTTTCAGCAGACGAAATACATCAAGATGTGATTATGTGAAGAATTATTTCTAATGCTACTTTGAGAAGCAATTCCCCAGAATTACTTTTTCTACAATTATTGAAATTACCAATCACATGACAGCATATTATTTTGAAGATGTCTATTCATTACAATGAAATATAAGTAAATATTATCAGGCTTTTACTTTATAATATGAGAATTAGAGGCCAAAATAATTTATTATAGGGTAAATTACCCTGACCTCCCCTGAGGTTTTTATTTATTACCCCTCAGATTAAAGTTTTGTAAAATAACTCCGACACCCTTGTCAGAGTTAAGAAGACTTATGTTATACAATTTCCAAATTACCCCAAATTTTAATATAACATTTGCAACCCTTGATGCTTGGTGAATGAAGAGCCTGTACAAAAAAGATCCACAACAACCTTCTTTCGCAAGCCCGGCCACTGGAAGTTAATGCAATAGTTGTTTCATCAAAGATTTCATAGGTGAATTGTGTTGAATATGCTTCATCATGTACATGTGCACAAATATATAATTATCACTTTATATGTATTTAAATAATCAGTATATTTCCGTTTTATACTTAAATATATATATATATATAGGGTAATTTACACAAACCTCCCCTATGGTTTGCCGTAATTACACGGACCTACCCTGTGGTTTGAGAATCTACTCGGACCTCCCCTAAAAATAAAACTAACCTACACAAACCTCCCTTCCTGGTGACGGACCGTCAATTGCCCTAACGGACTTGTCTAATTTACTTAAATGCCCTCAACTTTCAATGATAAATGACTAAAATACCCTAGTGTGTGTGTGTGTATATATATATATATATATTAATGAATTTCCAATTTCAGAGGCAGCAAGAGAGAACACAGTACTGCAGCAACAAAGAATTTCAGTCCGGTGAAAAGCTTCACAAGTTTCAATTTGGGCACGTTTTGATCCGGTGAGAGCAACAATTTTAGAGACCCAATTTTGCATCGTTGCAAACCCAGACTAAGACTATGGCCGCTGTTAACCAATATCTCAACATCATTGCAAACCCAGACCAAGATCTCGCTGCCGTGACCCAACACCGTTGCAAAACCAGACCAAGATTATCACCGCCAGCAGTCGTGAACCAATATCTCAGCATCGTTGCTAACCCAAACCAAGATCATCGCTGGCCACCATGAACTAACATCTCAGCATCGTTGCAAACCCAGACCAAGATCATTACCGCTGGCCGCCGTGAACCGACATTGTTGTAAAATCCAGACCATCGTCATGAACCAACATCTTAACATCGTTGCAAAACCCAGACCCAGATCATCATCGCCGTGAACCAAATCGCCTTAACCCCAAACCTCAGTGCCACCATCACCGTAAATCACGTCGTCGTTGTAATCGCCCAAAGTCAGTACAACGAACTGTTTAGGATCAGGCCAAAGACATTTTGGAAAATTCCTTGACGGCGACCCACCATCGGTCTCTTCATCACCGTCGTAAGATTTTCGCATACACAAACACCAGTCGTAGTCCCACCGATTTCTTTTTTCACCGTTCACCTCACCCACTTTTCCTCCGGTCGATCCCCACCACAGCCGACCACCAACAGCCCCCATTTGGGTATGACTAAATTGAGATAATTGAGACTATATTGATTGTATGTTTATAATTTGATTCAAATTCTTTGCTAGCACGTCTATATATTTCATTTGGGAAGATTGCATTTCTCATATTGTGGTTCAGTCAGGTGTGTAAATGTATATAATATACACAGTTCACACACATATGTATATGTAATGGAGAAGATGAGGGTATTTTGGGAATTTCATTTAATTCTTACATGACATCAGCATATTCCGTCCTTGACTGACGTTGACTCTAACAGAAGGGAGGTTCGTGAAGGATATTTTCATTTTTAGGGGAGGTCCGAGTAAATTCTCAAACCACAGGAGATGTCCGTGTAATTATGGCAAACCATAGGGGAGGTTTGTGTAAATTACCCATATATATATATAATCATTGCATATACATGGCCTTAGTTTGAATTGGGTTACTGAAACATAGACACAGGACAACAAAGAGAGATCATAGAGAGAGAAAAGGAGAAAAAAAGGAGAAAAAGAAAGAAAGAAAGGAAAATGCATATTTTTAAGACATATTAAATATATATTTTAAAATTCAGAAAAAAATATATTTTTCAATAAATATTAACTATATATTTATAATAGAATAAAGGGAGTAAATAATCTTCTAATATGTTTAGTTCCCACTTCCTAGTTATAATTCATAAGAATGAATTAAGCTTAAATTTTATGAAATTTAGCAAATTCTAAAGTTTATAAATTAAATGTAAATTTAACAGTGTATACACACACACACACACACTTTGAAGAAGTATGTTTAATTGTTTTAAAATAATCTTTAATATAATCATTAAGTGTTAATTGGTATTCAGTTTATTTTGGTGTTGCATGTAGGGGTAGTTTGGTCCAACTATTAATAAATTGATAAGGTTATTTTTATAATTTTTTTACACATGAGGGTACTTTTGGCATTTTCATTTTTTTGTTTTAACTAGGGTAAGGTCAACTAACTGCAGGGGTGCTCAGAGTTAAGTCAACCAAGCCTCAGGGGAGGTTGACCAAGGTATTTTAAAAACTTTAAGCTGAGGGTAATAAACAAAAACCTCAAGGGAGGTCAAAATAATTTACCCTTTACTATAATATGAGAATTAGAGGCCGAAATAATTTCATTCATATGATTGGAACAATCTTTTATTTAAGAAAATAAGAGGGAGGGAGCACCACTGCTAGTTTCTCTAAGAAACCATTCATATACCAATTATATAGTATGTCAGGCCTGTAATTACCATGCCTTGACGCCCTTGGATGACAATCTTCTATAATTTGGTCCCAAACACTATAATGCTCAATTCTCCCCAAGTCCATTGGCATATTCTACTCCCATTTTTTTCTCCTGAATTTGGCACATTCTACATAAGATTAGTTCTTACAAGTAATCAGCAACTTTCACTTCTTCCTACTTAAGGATTAAATATGACAATTCAATAAACACATGACCTCTAATTTTTATTATTATTTTTTTTTTCCTACTTGGTACTCACACACACTTGTCTCTTCTGAGACTTGAACCCCTGACCTCCCTTTGGGAAGTAAGAGGCTGATACCGCTAGGCCACTAGCCTGTTGATCATGACCTCTAATTTGTTATCACCATAAACATAACACGATTTGAAAATATTCGAAATTGTATATAGTTGACAGTTAACACAAAAATTTGGGATTGTGGCTGCTTGTGTTATTGTCAATATCATTGGGAATTAATATAATAACCACATGGGAGAATAGGAACCATAATTTACCAAAAAATGAACATATCAAGGCCCAAAAAATTTGGAAACAGCAATGAATATATCTATATTGGACCATGAAATGGCTAAAACCTGAGGTACCTACATAAGAACCCATATTCGAATATAAGTACGGCCACTTTGTGCGTATAATACAAAATAGTTCACTCCTCCAAACAACACCATGGATTAAAATGAATAACATAGAGTAATGACTTTTTCTGGCGATGCATATATCAACATTTTTTTAGAAAACAATAAAAAAATATAAACACACACTAAACTAAAGAAAATAATATTGATGTAATGGATTTCATGATTAACATGAATAGCATAGAGTAATGACTCTTTTTTGGCGATGTATATATCAACATGTTTTTAGAAAACAATAAAAAAAATATAAACACACACTAAACTAAAGAAAATAATATTGATGCAATGGATTTCATCATCATCATTTTTGCCTTAATCCCATATGAATGAGGTCAAGCACATGAATTCTCTCTCCAAGCTTTTCTATTGCATGTCAATTCACCTACTATATTTAACTTTTTAAAAATCATTTTTAATAACCTCATCCATGTTATTTTTGGCCCCCTCTCAGTCTCCAAGCTTTTCTATTACAGGCAATGGATATATTAAAGTACATTATACATCAAGTCTGTAAATTAAAGACTAACCACAACTACTATGAACACTAGATAGAAAAATCACCATAAAGAGTCCATGTTGAAGTAGAACTGGAAAACCCCTCTGACCTTCGAAACTTTCTCCGCTGGATGATACGCGTTGGAGACCCAATAAATAACCATCCTTTGTTTGAATCTGAAATAATAGAGCAAAACCCTCCTTTCAATTAACAGATAAGAAACAAATTAATGAACACTAAAAACGCCTAATGAAGGGAAACTAAATAAAAATATTCAACTCCACATTTCCAATTGAAAATTTACAGAGAAATGCTCAAATTTTATAATGATATACTGATTGAAAAATGGATCATTAAATAATTTATAAGACTTGAAAGATTTATGTATATATACAAACATAGATATATGTATGCATATGTATAGAGAAAGGGGGAAGGATTACGGTGTGTTCTTCGCAAGGATAACCAGAGGGAGCAATGAGCTGTGCACATAAACCGTTGACCGGCGATCGTCGGTGGATGTTTAGTTCTCCGGTGAAGTCGCCATCGGCTTTTGCGACAGAGAATATGAGGAAGATACAGAAAAAATGTGCGACCGCCGTGGTGGCGACCACCAACCTCTCCATCTCCGAGATGGCGAGGGCGGGAAGATTAACCTACCAGTATGGATTGAGAGAACGGTTGGATTGAGAAGTAATGTGGGATTTTTGTTTGTGTTCTCACACCCAATAACAGCGCGTTGATCAGTGTAGTTGTGGAATTTTTTTATTTTTACTATTATTATTTTTATTTGGAATTGAATTAGGTAGTATTTGAAATTTTAAAATAGATGAAAATCATTTGGAATTGAATTAGGTAATATTTGAAATTTTAAAATAGATGAAAATCATTTGGAATTGAATTAGGTAATATTTAAAATTTTAAAATAGATGAAAATCAGTAAAAATTGATGGAATTTGTAAATTAATTAGATTCTAAGGGTGTGATTTAACTAAAATTATAAAAACAAAATGGTAAAAACAAAACATCCCTTTGATGATTATACAAGAGTATTCCATACTATACCACTCTGGAGTTGGTGTCTATGGCTATTGAGATTAGATACAAGACTCTCAATCATTTATGTCTAGGTAGTTGAATTCTATAATAAAGTTTTAGTAGAAGAAAGTCTTACCCTTCTAAAGTTCTCATTTAAATATGTATCTCAGAATTGTTCAAACACTCTTTATATAGACATCTTATTTATTTATTTATTTTTGAAAATTTTCACATAATTTTTTATAAATTTACAGTGTTACAAAACTCTTCAATCTTCTGAAAATTAAACTTTCAGATAAACATCTTATAAATTTATGAGTCTACAAAACCCTTCAATATTCTAAAAATATGTGTACTCTATAAATATCTACATTAATATTTTAAAATTTTCTAAAAAAATGTGAAGTCTATTAATATATACAATTTCTTTAATATTTTAAAATTTTATAATCCTTCTGTAAGCAAAAAATTAATAGTTTAACAATAATTAATTAATATTTAGTTATCCATATATTTGAATGAATAGTCACCTATATATTTAAGAGTTGTGTTGTTTTGTTGAAGAGTCACGTATGAAGAGTTGTTTTACTTAATGGAACCAACACACCTTTTAACGTCTACTGAAACGATTTCAACCCTCATCTATATATATGCATAGAAGTCTGGAGCCCATCATCCTGTATGCAATGAAAGATGAGAGGGTTGAAGGTCGTCTTCTATATGATATAAGTAAGATTTCCGCTGTAATTCCCTTAAATAGATTTTTATATCGGGTATGTCTTCTTTATCAAATTTATGCATTGGAACCATGTTTGTATTTATGTTAGAATTTTCTTACGTGTGGTATTAGAGCTTACATGGACTTTACTTCATAAATTTAATCTATTTCAAACAAAAATATATTGTGATTTACGTACAATATATGTTTAAGATGATGAAGGATACCATATTTGGTTATTAAGAAATTATATATATTCACTTATATAGTTTCTGTGAAAGATTTTTTCTGTATCACGTAAGTAAACCGATTATTTCATTGCCCCTTATATATATGTGTTTATATATATGTGTGTACATAATTGGATAAATTATTGAAACTTTGTATAGAAAAGTGATAATCAAATTATTACTACCAGATTAGAACAAGGTTATGTATATGCATATGTGTTTGTACACAATTCATTGTTTAAGACAATTTGTAGACCATGTAGTGTGTAAACTTACACTACATATATGTAGTGAGTACTTTGTCTCTTACGTGTGTGTATATTTGTTGTAATTGAAACATGCTTGCAATATGACCATATACATCATGTTATACTAGCAATTTGGTTTGGGTGTCAATACATGTAACATTAGACAGTAATGTTACACAATAATATCTGAATGTGACATTTTCTTTAGGTATCCATACATACCATATTAGACAGCAAAATAAATCTCAAATATTCATGTATCGGTTTTATATTTCAGTAGTGAGGGGCTATTTTTCATAATATCCAGAGTCACGACCGTTTATGGCTATTGTAAGTGAAACAGTACCACCCCGTACAAGAATGTCATTTTGTGTCATTTTGGGTATTCATATCTCTATGAGAGTGTCACAATTGTTTTAAAATGTATTGGACAACAACGTGAATGTCATTTTGGGTCTTCATTCTTTATGAGTGACTTTTAAGAATGTATGACATGCTGATTGTGAAGGGTTATATGTTTCAACGTATTATTACATGTTTTAGTTTGGGTCACAAATATTCATTATATATATATATATAGATGTCATGTTTTGAATTTCAATCAATAGTCATGTCTTATGGAATTAATAGGCATGTCTTTTGGGTTTAAACCAATAGGCATGTCTTTTGGATTTTAACCAATAGGCGTGTCTATGCAACTGCTGATCATGCGTGTTACATGCACCTGTATTTGTGGTCTATGCACCAAGAGTTATGCACGTGGTATTCTAGAGATGTTTTGCTATAGACCCATAGCAAACTCAATTAGATCGTGTACGATTCTACTAGAAATAATTATATGACAAATTTTTGTTGTGAAATTCTTTATTTTATAACATGTATAAATTTTAAGGCTTGAGATTTGATTTAGTACTTTAATAAATTTTCATAAATATGCCATTTTTATTAAGTTATCATCACTAGTTGAATGTTTTATATTTTTAATGATATACATGGCATAATTAATGATTAAATATTTGGTCTCATGGCATATATGAATTGTGTAATTATACATGTTATTGAAATTATATACATAATTATGCATGTGCCTCATGTTTTATATTATTGCATAATGTGTATATGGTATGTTGATTCATTCGGGAAAATTGAATCATTTTGCAATTCTAAGCACAATGCCGTTAAGTTTGATTGAGTGTTTAGTCACCAAAGTGGCACATTCATGAAAATTTTAATGGTATTTGTAGTTAGTGGTAAAATTATTATTTTGCTAAAGATGAAGGATTGTGTTGGCGTTTAGTAGAGACAATCAATAATCAAGCCCAAAGGTGGGTCATTGATTTTGTCCAACTAAGCGGATTGGGGTAATTAATGCGGAATACATAAATTGATGACTTATTACACCCAAAGGAGTATAAGTTTTTATTGTGTTTTTTATGATTAATTAACTTCAAAGGTGAAAATTATGTTACCAGTGGGAGACTAACATATGATAATTTTGGCCTAAAGGAAAGATAATTATATGTTATGTTGATCCCATTCAGAGTAAATTGTTTTGAGGCATTATTTAATTAACTCTGGAAAGTTTAGTTGACATTTCCATCAACTAAACTGTAAACGTGTGGCCTTAGTTATTCTCAAAATTAGTGGGAGTAAAATTCATCTTTAGTGTTAAATGTGGATGATAGTGACATTATTATACATGAGATTAAACAATTTAACTTTTCAAACATTTGAGATGAAGGTGTTGGTGAAGCCTTTTTATTGGCATTAAGTTTCACCTAAATAAATCTCGTGAAATTTTGAATTGTCACAATTAAAGAACCTACTTTGATAGAGTTCTGAAAGTATTTGACATATAACACTATAGAGGTAGAATTGTACTTATTATAAAAGTTGAGAAATTTAGTAATCCAAGGACTAAGAAAATATCTAGAGCAGAATTAGGTAAAAAACATTTTCTACGCCTTTGAAAATCTAATGTATGCTCAAGTTTTGTATATGGTTAACTATAAAATAGCATATGATAGGCAGATATCACATTGATCTTGGTTTGGATCCACAGTAAACGGTGTGATACCTCTCGATTCTAGAACCACGATTGATCAAGTCCGAATCCGAAGGATACCAAACAATGAAGTATGTAAATAAACATAGAATACAAAAAAGATTTACAAATAAATAATAAATAAGCTGAAAAGAATTCTAAATTAATAATCCTTAAAATTAAATAATTAAAATTCAATAATTCCAAAACCTCCGATATTTAAAACAACTCGGGAATCCATCTAGTGGACCCCTAATAAAAACCTATACTAAAAAGCGAACAACTGAAATAAAATCTAAAGCTAAACCATGAAGAGAAATCCTATGTCGTCGGAAGAATGAGTGACCGTCTCTACTCAGCACGAACAAGCTCTAAGACTAGAACCGTGTTATACCTGAAAAATGACAGTGGGTCAGGCCTACGAACAAGTTTTATTCGAATTACAATCCAAACAGAGACCCGATAGGCAGATACTGTAACGACCCGGTCATTTGCCTTCCTTTCCTTTTTCCTGAAATTTTACGAATGAATTTTTTTCGTTTAATTTTCTTTTCTGAGCTCTGTTTTGTGTCGCTTAGTGTCATCTCGAGTGCTAGGAATTGGTTTCTGAGACTCTTTCATGTGAATTGACAACTTCCTTTGAGGACCGAGTCATTTTCGCATTTTTACTTTTCGAACACTATGCGTCTTTTGTCCTTTTCCCTATTTCGTCTTTTTCCCTATTCTGTCTTTTTCCCTTTTATCACTTTGTTGGAACAACCTCACTTCCCATGCTCGGAGTTGGTTTTTGACTTCACGTGCCTTCATCTTGAGTGGTTTTCTCGAAATACGTATCTCTACTTTTGTAAGAAAGTACTTTGGTTGCTCCCGGTGTCCATAGGGGCATGGATGCACAATTCTTTGGAATTATTTTCCTTTCTTGGGGTATTTTTCGTAAATATCTTTTGAAGATATTTTATTTTAGGGGTATCTAAGAAAATATCTTTTGGAAGATATTTTCATTCTGGGGCAGTTTCGCAGTTAACTCTTTTTGTAGGGGTCATTGTGCAATTGACGAAAGTTATTGCAAAATGTCTCGTCTGGAGCCTGAATCCTCGTATGGGATTCATTTTTCACATTTCGTCGAGTCGTGGACTCTTAGAATTCCGTTCTGGTCGTAATCTCCAGTTTCAGAGTTTCTGGACCCGGTTGCCGCCAAACTTGTTCGGGGCATAACTTTCTGCTCGGGAGTCAATTTTTGACGTCGTTTCTTCTGTTATTCATATTTTCTCATTTTGAATCTTTTTCGTTCACGGAGTTTTGCCGTTTGAGCACGTTTGCTTAAAATCCACTTTTCCGGACCTAGCGGGGCCCTTTCGGGGCACTTATTGAGATTTCTATAAATAGGTTGCCCTAATTTTTAAAATCAAATTTTCAGACCTTCTTCCTCCTCTAGGCTGGCAGCCATGGGAGCCCAAGGGGCTGCCTTCA